GCCCAATGCGGGACTCGATCCCAGGACCCTGGGATCATGACCTGAGCCGAAGGCAGACGCTTAACCGTCTGAGCCACCCAGGCGCCCCCTGGGATCGAGTCTTGCATGAGGCTCCCTGCTCAGCGGGGAGTCTGCTGCTTCCTCTCCCTGCCACTCCCCCTGCTTGTGCTCTCTCCCTCTCTGACAAATAAATAAATAAAATCTTTAAAAAAATCAGTCTTTAAAAGAAAAATAAAGGAGGGATCATATGTGTATATGCCCCTAGTTTTATTAGATAATATATGTTCAATTTTATTGGATAAATTCTTAGCTTACTATTTGATGATTAAAATTTTAAAATATTTTAACGTGTTAGCTTGTATTATTTTTATTACAGCAGCCTTGTATTCCTAGTACAAATTCTATTTGATCTTTCTGAATAAGTTTTTAATGTGATGTGGTGATCTTTTTTGGTAAGATTTCATTAAATATTTTTGTATCTTTATTGATGAAATAGCCCTTCTTCCAGTTATCTGTTGCTGTATAACAAATCACTCCAAGGTTAGTGATGTAAAGGAACAATCATTTTACTAGGCTTAATGATTCTCTTGGTCTAGAATTCATACAGAACTAAATAGGGATAAAATTGTCTGTGCTCCCATTTATTATGGTTGGAGCCTTACCTGAGACAGCTTTAATGCTCAGAGGTTACACAGTGAAGGAATATACTTCCGTGGAGGCTGCTTTATTCATGTTTGGTGCCTAGTCTGGAGTGACTTGAAGGCTGGGCACAGCTGGAACTGTTACCTGGAGTACCTACAAATGGTTCTTTCATGTGGCTTGGGTTTCTTATAGTATGGATTCTGGGTTTGGAGAGTGTCCTGAGCGGGAGTGTCTAGTTCTCTAGTGCTCCAAGAACCCAGTGCAGAAGTTGAATGGTGTTCAATGAGTTAATCTTGGAAGCATCATTTTACTGCCTTCAGTCCTAGATAAGGGAATAGACCCCACTTCTAACTGAAGAGCAATGTCAAACATTTTGGGCCATGTTTTAAAACTGATATTTATTACCTATATCATATTTGGGAATAATCTTAAACATGTTTCTTTTATAAATTGATTTAAGTTTACATACATAAGCTGTTGTAAAATATAGAAAAGGACTGAAATCTAGAAATTAGGTAAAATTTTAGAAGATCTCTAGTCAATCTCTTTGAGCCAGGTAATTCTTAGATATAGTATATCCTTTTTATTTTCTTTAATTTGTAATGACACTACCTTTTCTGTACATCAAATTGCATATATTTCATTTAGTTTATACCCAGGTTTTGTATTTATTTGTATGTATGTTAAACATTTTTCCTTCCTGACACTTACTTAAAAAGGATTTATTTATTTATTAGAGAAAGAGCGCATGTGCGTGCAACAACGGGAGAGGCAGAGGAAAAGAATCTTAAGCAGACTCCCCGCTGAGTGTGGAGCCCAACTCCGGGCTCCATCTCAGGACCGGAGATCATGACCTGAACTGAAATCAAGAGTGGGATGCTCAACCAACTTGAGCTACCCAGGTGCCCCTATCATCCTAAGTTTTAAAATTTGGTTTATTTAAAAATAGTTTTCATCTGCTGTTTGATTTCTTCTTCTGTCCCCCAAAGAATAACGTGCTGCTTTTTATTTTATTTTTTTTTAATCTTTGTCCTATTTAAAAAAACTACTATGTTGAAACATACTTCATATACCACAGAATTCACCCTTTTAAACTGTAAATTCAGTGGTGTTTAGTATATTCATAGAGTTGTGTAGCCATCACCGCAGTGTAATTTTAAAATATTTTTCAATACCCCAGAAGGAAATTTTGTGCCTGTTAGCAGTCACTTTCTCTTCACCTGTCCCAGGTCTAGGCTACCACTAATGTACTTTTTATAAATTTGCCTATTCTGGACATTTCATATATATGATTTGTTCAAAAATTGTCCTTTTTGAGTGGTTTCTCTGACTTAGCATGATGTTTTCAAGGCTCATCCATATTGTGGTATGTTTTATAATATTCTTTTTTATTGCCAAATAATACTCCATTTTGTTTATTCATTCATGTTTTGATGCACATTTGGTTTGTTTCTACTTTTTGGCTATTGTGAATAATGCTGTTATAAGTATTCTCGTACAAGTTTTTTTTTTTTTTGAGCATTTCTCCTGGGTATTATATACCTAGGAGTTGAGTTGCAGGATCATATGGTAACTGTTTAATCTTTTTTTTTTTTTAAAGATTTTATTTATTTACTTGAGAGAGAGGGAGAGAGCGCAAGCAGGGGGAGCAGGCTCCCCACTGAGCAGGGTGCCCACTGTGGGGCTCAATCCCAGGATCACAGGACCATGACCTGAGCTGAATGTAGATGCTTAAGCGACTGAGCCACCCAGTTGTCTCGAGTGGTATCTTTTGATTTCTATTTCCTTGGTGGCCAGTTACACTGAGTATCTTTTGATGAGATAATGGCCGTTTGTATGTCTTCTATATAGAGCTATATTCAGAATCTTTGTCTATATTTTTAATTAGATTATTTGGCTTTTAAAAATTATTGAATTGCAAGAGTTCTTTATATAGGCATACCTCAGGGACCTCAGGGATATTTGTGGGTTGGGTTCTAGACCACTGCAGTAAAGCAAATACCACAATAAAGCAAGTCAGATGAAGGTTTTTGGTATCTCAGTGCCTATAAAAGTTATGTTTACACTATTACTGTAGTCTGTTAAATGTGCAGCAGCATTATGTCTAAACTGTATGTACCTTAATTAAAAAATGCTTTATTGCTAAAAGAATGCTAACCATTATCTGAGCTTACAGTGAGTTGTAATCTTTTTGCTGGTAGAGGATCTTGCCTCAATGTGGATGGCTGCTGACTGATCGAGGTTGTTTCCTGAAGGTTTGGGTGGCAATGGCAATTTCTTAGAATAAGACAACAGTGAAGTTTGCCACATTGATAGACTTCTTTTCACAAATGGTTTCTTTGTAGTATGTGATACTGTTTGATAGCATTTTACCCACAGTAGAACTTCTTTCAAAATTGAAGTCAATCTTCTCTAACCCTGCTGCTATTTTATCATCTAAGTTGATGTAATATTCTAAATCCTTTGTTGTCATTTCATCAGTCTTCACAGCATCTTCACCTGGAGTAGATTCCACCTCAGGAATCACTTTCTTTGATCACCCATAAGAAGTAGTTCCTCATCTGTTAAGAGTTTATTATGAGATTTCAGCAATTTAGTCACATCTTTAGGCTCCATTTCTTTTTTTTTTAAGAAAGATTTTATTTATTTATTTGACAGAGAGAGCAAATCAGGGCTGCTGCAGGCAGAGGGAGAGGGAAAGGGAGAAGCAGGCTCCCTGCTGAGCAGAGAGCCTGACGTGGGGCTTGATCCCAGAAGCCTGGGATCATGACCCAAGCCGAAGGCAGATGCTTGACCAACTGAGCCACCGAGGCGTCCCTAAGTCTCAATTTATAATTGTAGTTCTTTTGCTATTTTTTACCACATCTGCAGTGAAATTTCTACCACATCTGCTGAAAGTTGTGAAGCCCTCAAAGTCATCTATGAGGGTTACAATCAACTTCTTCTAAAGTCCTGTTAATGTTGATAGTTTGACTTCTTACCATGGATCCCGGATGTTCTAAATGACATCTAGAATGATGAATCATTTACAGAAGGCTTTCAATTGACTTTGCCCATATCCATCCGAGGAATCACCATGTATGGCAGCTATATATATATATAGCCTTGCGAAAATGTATTTCTTAAATAAGAAGACTTGAAGTTTGAACGTACTCCTTTAACCATGGGCTATAGTATGGATTTTTTGTTAGTAGGCATGAAAACAACATGAATGTCATTGTACATCTCCCATCGGAGCTCTTGAGTGACCAGGTGCATTGTCAATATAACAGGAATATTTTGAGAGGAATCTTTTTCTTCTGAGTAGTGGGTTCGAAAGTGGGCTTCAAATATTCAGTAAACCATGTTGTAAACAGATAGGCTATTATCCAGTCTTTGTTGTTCCATTTGTAGAGCATAGGCAGAGTAGATTCAGCATAATTCTTAAGGGCCCTAGGATTTTTGTAATGGTAAATGAGCCCTGGCTTCAATTTAAAGTAATCAGTTGCATTAGTCCCAGACAAGAGAGTCAGTCTGTTCTTTGAAGCTTTGAAGACAGGAATTGACTTCTCTCTAGCTATCAAAGTCATAGAAGCTATCAAAGTCATAGATGGCATCTACTTCCAATATAAGCTGTTTTGTCTACGTTGGAAATTTACTGTTGTGTAGCCACCCTGGTTAATTATCTTAGCTAGTTTTCTGGATAACTTACTGCAGCTTCTGTATCAGCATTTACTACTATTTCACTTTGCACTTTGATGTGAAGGAGACACCTTATTTCCTTAAACTTCATGAACCAACCTCTGCTAGCTTCAAGTTTTCCTTCTGCATTTTCATCATCTCTCCCAGCCTTCAAAGAATTGGAGAGTTGGAGCCTTGCTCTGGATTAGGCTTTGGCTTCAGTGTTGTGGCTGGTTTGATTCTTTTATCCATACCTCTAAAACATTCTCCATATCAGCAATAAGGCTGTTTCACTTCATTATCATCATATGTTCACTGAACAACTCTTTATTTTATGCAGGAATTTTTCCTTTGCATTTATAACTTGGCTGTTTGCCTCAAGAGGCTTATCTTTTGGCCTATCTCAGCTTTCGACATGCCTTCCTCAGTAAGCTTAATCATTTCTAGCTTTTGATTTAAAGTGAGAAATATGCAGCTCTTCCTTTCACTTAAACACTTGGAGGTCATTGTAGGGTTATTGGCCTAATTTTAATATTGTGTCTCAGGGAATAGGGAGGTTTGAGGAGAGGGAGAGAGATGGGGGAATCAGAACACACACAACATTTATTAAGCTTGCTATCTTTTATGGGCACGATTCATGGTGCCCCAAAACAAGTACAATAGTGACATCAAAGATCTCTGATCCCAGGGCGCCTGGGTGGCTCAGATGGTTAAGCGTCTGCCTTCGGCTCAGGTCATGATCCCAGGGTCCTGGGATCGAGTCCCGCATCGGGCTCCCTGCTCCTTGGGAGCCTGCTTCTCCCTCTGCTTCTCTCTCTCTCTCTCTCTCCCCCTCTGTCTCTCATGAATGAGTAAATAAAATCTTTAAAAAAAAAAAAAGATCTCTGATCCCAGATTACCATTAATATAATAATAATGGAAAAGTTTAAAATGTTGAAAGAATTATCAAAATGTGACAGAGACACAAAGTAAGCACCTGCCACTGAAAAAATGGCTCAGACTTGCTTGACACAGGGTTGCCACAAACCTTTGGCTTGTAACACGCACACGCACACACACACAGTATCTGTGAAGTGCAGTAAAACAAGATATGCCTCTATATTTTGAGCACAAATGCCTTATCAGATACACGATTTGCAAATGTTTTCTCTTATTCTGTGGGTTGCTTTTCTTATCTTTGATGAAGTCTTTTGAAACAAAACTTTTGTGATTAAGTGAAAGTCATTTTTTTGGTCTTGTTCCTTTAGTCTAATATCTAAGAATACATTGCTTAACATATGGTTATGAAGATTTAGTTATGTGTTTTATAGTTTTAGCTCTTGTATTTCAGTCTTTGATCCATTTTAAGTATTGTGTATGATATGAGATGGGGTCCAACTTCAGTCTTTTTAATTTTTAGAAAGACTTCTTTATTTGAGAGAGAGAGAGAACAAGTGGGAGGGAGGGGTAGAGGGAGAGGGCGAGAGAGAATCTTAAGTAGGCTTCACACCCAGCGTGGAGCCCATTGCAGGGCTTGATCTCACAATCCTGTGATCGTAACCTGAGCTGAAATCGAGAGTCAGACACTTAACCAACTGAACCATCCAGGCACTCCCAACTTCATTCTTTTTTTTTTTTTTTTTAAGATTTTATTTATTTGAGAGAGAGCGAGTGAGCAAACACATGCAGGGGGAGGGGCAGAGGGAGAGGGAGAAGGAGACTCCCTGCTGAGCAGGGAGCCCCAAGCAGCTCGATCCCAGGACCCTGGGATCATGACCTCCTGAGCTGAAGGCAGATGCTTAACCGACTGAGCCACCCAGGCGCCCTCCCATCTTCATTCTTTTGCATGCAGATAGCCAGTTGTCCCACCACCCTTTGTTGAAAAGACGAGTCTTTCTTCATTGGATTTTCTTGGCATCCTTGTCAAAAATCAAGTAACCATCAATATGAGAGTTTATTTTTGATTTGCATTTTTATTCCATTTATGTACATTTTTGTCCTTAAGCCAGTACTGTCTTGATTACTGTAGCTTTGTAGTAAGTTTTGAAATAATGAAGTGTGAGTCCTCCAACTTCGTGCATCTTTTTCAAGATTGTTTTAATATTCTAGATCTCTTGCATTACCATAAGGATTTTAGGATCAGCTTTCCAGTTTCTGCTAGGAAGCCAGCTGGATTTTTAATAGGGATTTCATTGACTCTGTAGATCTATTTGGAGAGTATTGTCATCTAACAGTATTAAGTCTACCGATCCATGAACTGTCCTACTTATTATTATGTTTATTTAGCCATTAATTTACTTTTGTTATTAACATGGGACTAGTAATGCTCACTATTGAAAAAAATTTCATTCTGCATTTTCTCATTGACTCAGCCATTTCCATCTTTTAGAAAGATTTTTGTTTTCATTCCATTGCAGTGTTAATATTTGTTAATTGTATTTAGTACACTATTTTAGTCAAAAGAAATATGGGTGTGATTTTTAATATCTTCTAGGATATCCTTAATGTCACTAAGAAATAAGTAATTACACTTTATAGAGTTGGGTCCCATAGTTTTCAGATTCCTTTTAATGCAAAATGAACAGAAGACTGATCATCGTTATGTGTTACCAGGTGATTATTTTACTGAATTTGGTTCTCTTTTATTGTTAAAATTTAACTTTAAATTTTAGTATACAAGTATATGTATATTTAATTTGAAGTAATGTGATACCACTTAATGTTGAAACTTAATAACTTTAATCAGACTTAATTCTTAGAACATTAGCAAAAGCTAATGGTTTTTTTTCTTCTCTGCTGTAGTCGGTGGTAGATGATTGGATAGAATCATACAAGCATGACCGAGATATAGCACTTCTTGACCTCATCAACTTTTTTATTCAGTGTTCAGGCTGTAAAGGTAAGATACATTTATTTTTGGAAGCAGAATGTTCTCAGATGGTCTCTTTGTTCCACCTAAATATAAACACTTTTCAGGAAAAATAATGCCAAGATATGGAATTGTTTGCATTATAATCATACAGAATGTATAAGGAAAAAGGAACAAAGAACAAAGTAAGAAAGAAACTCTGTTGAGACAGTTGTATTCATGTGTGAAAATTAAAAACTTGGCAATTTGTTATATTTTATTAGATACATTTCCCACTTTGAGCATCTGGTTTTAGGAACAAAGAAATGGATTAAGAAGGGAGGAGGATGATAGTGAAGAGATAACAGGTTCAAGTGACAGGGAATTGTAAAGTGTAGGGAGTTTAAAAGTGCCATGAATAACAGTAAGTAAGTAAGTTTCTAGTTTTTTCCCTAAAAAGTAGAGAAGTTTTGGAGTGGGGTCTTATTGGAAATGTTTTCACCTTATTTAAAAAGATTTTGAAGTAGGAGTGGGGAAAATATAAAATACAGTAGTGTCTTCCCTGGGGCAAAAATATTTAGTGCAGACATTTGGCAGGGGGACAAAATTACGTAAGTTGGGGGGTGTCATACATCTTGATCTGGATCATTAAATGATTCAGACAAAATCATGGACAGGTTCTGATCTATTCTGTTTCTCCCTAATACTTGATCCATCCTTGAAACTTAAGAGGATGTCCAGGAAAATAAATGTTACAAAGTTTCCCAAGAGTATTACATTTTTTTTTATGAAAGTGGCACCAAAAACATGGACATCAGAAGTCAGGAGGAGGGAAGTTAGCTTAAAAATAGATCTAAGAAGTTAAGATGCTAAAAAATGATATAAAGAAATCTGTAAAAAGAGTCCCAAGAAGCAATTTATTTATGTCTACTCCTTTAATTCTACAATAATACTTTAAAAATACTGTTATTAGAATTTGTGAAACAAGTAACATTTTTTAAATGAGTTTTTATTTTAATTTTTTTAACTTTGAAAGTGACATTTTATTGAAAATAAATTGAAAGAGTTACATTGCTTTCCATTACTTTTTCTCCCAAGTAGCATAGGATTAAAATCCTAATTCTTAAAATTATTCTGCTCAGTGTAAAATTTGGGTAATCTGACTGTATATAAAGATTTTCTTTCAGTTAGGTTTTTTAAAATTTTATTTTAATTCCAGTGTAGTTAACATATAGTGTTATTTTAGTTTCAGGTGTACAATATAGTGATTTAACAATTCCATATAAACAATATTTTATGAAATGATGCATTTTATTCGAGGTTGATCACAACATTCAGTGCAGCATGCATACTAGATATTCTGTATGTGAGGCTTGATAGACAAATTAACTTTTTGAGTCTGATCTGCGTAATGCCATTAATATGGTCAGTTTTGAGAAAAAAATTTTTTTTGAAAACTGTCTTTTTAGAAAGTTGCCTAGTTTACTTGACTTCTTAGCTAGAGGTAGCTGCAAATCAGTATAGAAAATTTGACTCTGCTCAAAGGAAATGTAATAATGACAATATGGTGAATCAGATTAACACTTTAAAAAAAGAATATACTAGTATTATTTTTATTTTGTCTGTGTCCAGTCCATCTTTCTGGAGTAGAACAGTCCAGGTACCTGTTTGTTGTATTATGTAATCAAGGACCATGTCCTTTCTCTTCAGATTCTGTGAAAGTGGAAGGTTGATTGCAGAACAACAGAACAGGTGCCAGAAATAACTTGATGAGTTGAAATTCTGACTTTTATCTTCAGTCTTCCCTGTTACACTGTAGTTTGGTCAGGTTTAGTTTCCTAGTTAGGCTTCTGAATTGTAGTTTTGAAAACAAGGCTACAGTCAGAGCATTTTCCCTTTATCAGATTCATTCCTTTTCTGGCACCATTCTGTTTTTTGAATCAGGAGCTTGCCAACTGAACCTTTGGATATATACTTTGTCATATACCAGGTTGTCCAGATTTTTAAAAATTGAAGGTGTTGAAAACTTAAATTAACACTGTCATAATGTTTATTTTAGAATCAAGAAAACTCCGTAAAGGAGAATTTATCATCTAATCAAAGTTAAGGTCATTAAGTACTTTCAAAAACACTTAGAATTATTTTGATTGAATTCTTTTATAAACAAGTTGGAAACATCTTTATATGTACTGTACTTTAGCTTTTTTCTTTTGGACTCAGGATTGTCATTGTGAGCATCAGTTATTTTACTGTAGTTTGGCCTTCAGCAGCTATTGAGGTGTGGAGGGATATTTGACTCTACGCTGAATGGCTCCAGACTGCTTTGTGGTTGCTGAATCTGTGGCCAGTGTTTCCTTCTTTCTTTCCTGGTCATCTGTCACTTTTCATTTTACCAGTTTTTAGCAGTCTCTTTCCATGTCTCCTACAATTTCAAGGCAGTGGGCTCACGCGTGGTGTCTTAATAGCACCTTCACACCTTCCCCAGGAGTTATATGCATGGAGTTTGTGACAGCTCTTTTCTTCTGCTTATTTTTGGGTGTCTGGCTGTTATATGGTCTGAGATGAGAGAGGAGCTTTAGAAATGGACAGTTGTCAAAATGTATGCAGTATGTTTGCTTTGAGATTTATTGATATATACATACTTTGTAGAAATTATTTCAGGGATTGAATAACTTGTCCTTCTATAGCTTTGCCAAGTTTATAGCACCTGGGTGTAAAGTATAGGAAGGTTCTGAAGATATATCCGTGACTTGATTAAAATTAAAAAACTCTTCAAAAGGTTTTTGAGAATGTTGCTTCTTTAGCAAGGGAAATGGTTTCTTCCAGATCTGTTAATATCTTAAAACAATCATGTAGTTCTTTTATGTTGTGGTAAGTAAGGGCTCTTCACAGCACCACTAGGAGTTGATCTTACTTGGGGGTGGCATCATCAATAATCTCAGACAAGGTAGTTAACTTCTCTTTGCTTTAGCCTTTACTTCCTCATCAGTAAAGCCAGGATTATAGCGCCTGCCTCATATTTATGGTATTCATAGTAATATGACTGGCAAGGAATAAGTAATCCAGCAATAGAAATACAGCTTTGAGAATCCAGTTTTTACATTTGTTCCTTTTTAAATAATCTGATACCCTATCAGTGGAAATTCATGTATCTCTTTTTCCTGCATTGTCTCCTTATAATTTTTTCTATAAGTCCCTTTTCTGATATTTGATCTCTACCTGGCTAACTTTTACTTCTTGTAATGTGCATCCTTTCTCCTCCCCTTTCCCATCTTCCTTTGAAATTCTAAATGTCCTTATCAGATTCCTTTTCTGTGAAACACCTGACTTAGCTAATTTTATTTTATTTATTTATTTTGGTCTGACCTATGGCCTTTATTGGCCTTGTCATTCATTAGGGCTTTTCTTATGTACTGCCTTTAATAGTTTTTATTTTCCCTCCCTCCCTCCCTCCCTCCCGTCCTCCCTCCCTCCCCTTTTCCTCCCTTCCTTCTTCCTGTTCTTGTTATTCTTTAAACTTCCAACTAGATTACAGATGGGCAGAAATTACTGTTTATGTTTATTTGAAGCCCTTTTAGAGGATGATTGGATGTAGTTGCTATGTATATATATAGTAATGCTTAATAAACCCGGCTAAAGTGAACTCTGCCTATCACTCTTTTTCTTATTATTTTCAGGTTTATCCTTAAAGTTTTAATTGTTACCCTGGGTGCTGCCTAACCCTTGATGATGTGTATTATATTAAAAGGGGCTAAGCCAGTATACATATTGTAGGCAAGAGTAGATTAAGTCAGGTAGAAATGTGATGGGTATTAAGGAGGGCGGCATGTACTGCATGGAGCACTGGGTGTTATACGAAAACAATGAATCGTGGATCACTACATCAAAAACTAATGATGTATGATGACTAACATAGTAAAATAAAATTTAAAAAAATGTGATAGAGACTAACAGTGTAAGAGATTGACTTAGAAGTTCTCTTTATTTTATTCTTTCTACAATGTATATTAACTTCTTACACTTGCAAATTTCAGGAGTTGTCACAGCAGAAATGTTTAGACATATGCAGAACTCTGAAATAATTCGAAAAATGACTGAAGAGTTTGATGAGGTAACTTATTACCCTAAATGTTTTGATAATTTTATGCATGTTGATCTTGATTTAACCTTAAAAGTATTCTTAAATTCTGAGCATTAGTGTAAATGTATAACAGCTTTGGCATCACATTTAATCAAATGATAAGTGACCTTGGGCAAGTTGTTGTCTTAGCATTGGTTTTATCATCTGTGAATAATACTCTTTGCTAATAATACTTTTTACATAAGCCTGTTGTGGATTTAATTCAGTAATGTTTGAAAAATTTCTTAGCATTTTACAGTGCCTGGTATATAATAAGAACTTAATAAATGGTAGCTATTATTATTGTCAAAAAATTAAAACTTCAAGAAAATAAAATTTAGTGCCTAAGAAAATGTCTTGGAATATTGTTAAAGATAGATTTGGTCAATATTTGGGGAACCAGGTAGGTTAGGCAAAGGACTGTAAAGTTGACCCTTGAATGGCATGTGAGGGTTGGGGATGCTGACCTCCTCTCTTCCCACATGGCCAAAAATATGCATTTAACTTTGGCTCCCCTCAACCTTAACTACTATAATAGCCTACTTACTCTTCACTAGAAGCTTTGCTGATAAACAGTTGAATAACAAACATTTTGTATGTTATATGCATTATATACTGTATTCTTAGAATAAAGTAGGCTAGAAAGAAGAAAATGTTATTAAGAAAATCATAAGGTCTCAGAAAATAAATTTACAGTACTGTAGGTATATTTATTGAAGAAAATCTGTGTATAAGTGCACCTGTACAGTTCCAACCCATGTTGTTTAAGGGACCACTCTCTATATGTTATTATTTAAAATATCCTTTATGGGGCACCTGGGTGGCTCAGTCGGTTAAGCGACTGCCTTCGGCTCAGGTCATGATCCCAGGGTCCTGGGATTGAGCCCCGCATCGGGCTCCCTGCTCCGCGGGAGGCCCGCTTCTCCCTCTCCCACTCCCCCTGCTTGTGTTCCCTCTCTCGCTGTCTCTCTCTCTCTCTAATAAATAAATAAAATCTTTAAAAAAAAATAAAATAAAATATCTTTTATGGGGGCATCTGGCGGGCTCAGTCAGTGGAGCATGTGACTCTTGATCTTGGGGTTGTGAGTTTGAGCCCCACGTTGGGTGGTTGGGTGTAGAGATTACTTGAAAATAAAATCTTTTAAAAATATATCCTTTATATTTTGAGTATGAGTAATAACAATACAAATTAAAAAATAGTAGCTTAGACTTGAGTGAATCCTTTATCACAGTGATGCCTTTGAAGTATTGCTACCAGTAAAGACATTTAGATTTACTATATTGTAAGCTCCTTCAGGGCAGGGATTTTTGTTTTGTTCACAGCTGCATTCTAGCACCAGCAGTTTTACTCTTCAAAACTTGTCACTGTGAATTTTCAAGTAGAAAGTCTTTCTTGTCCCATTTGAGTTTTACTTGATCATTTTTTTCTTGCTTACTCTGATGAAGGAGCTTTCAACTATCATTCTAAAAGATAGACAAGAGTTGTTTAAAAGGCTTTGATGATCACTAAGTGTGCTATTAATCATTCTCCAAGTAGTTGAGAGGTAATTATGAGTAATGGTATTATAGTAGTCCCCCCCTTATCCTCGGGGGATACATTCCAAGATCTCCGGTGGGTGACTGAAACCACAAATAGTAGTACACCCTATATATTCTTTTTTTTTCCTATGTATACATAACCTGTGATAAAGTTTAATTTATAAATTAGACATAGTAAGAGATTAACAATAATAATAGAACAATTATAACAGTCTACTGTAATAAAAACTATGTGAATGTAGTTTCTCTGTCAAAATATCTTCTGTACTCACCCTTGTGATGATGAGAGATGATAAAATACCTACATGATGAGATGAAATGAGGGGAATGACATAGGCCTTGTGACATAGTTTTAGGCTACCATTGACCTTCTTCTGATAATACCTTAGAAGGAGGATCATCTGCTCTCAGATGGAGGTTGACCCATGGGGTCACTAAGATGTGGAAAGTGAAACTATGGATAGAGGGCGGCAGGGGGCGGGGAACATGACTACTTTATTTTAACATACTAATATTAAATGTTTTAGTGAGAACCTTCTTACTAAAAGGAAACAGCTATTTCAGAATCCTGAAATCTGATTTGAAAGTGTCCACAAACCAAGTTGCTGACAATTAAGATGATGCATTTCAATGTAGTCACTAAATGATTCAGTCAGAGAGTATGGAAGAGAACCTTTGTGTAGAATATTAGGATCTTATTCTCAGATGAGAAATAAGAGTTCAGCTTCTATATAGCATGACTTAAAATTTTAAAAAAATACTGCTCTAATGACAAAATAATAGGGGTGCCTGGCTGGCTCAGTTGGTAGAGCATGCAACTCTTTATCTCGGGGTCATGAGTTCAAGCCCACAGTGGGCATAGAGTTTATTTTATGTGTTTATGTTTTTAAAGATTTTATTTGAGAGAGAGCTCAAGCATGACAGGGGGAGGGGCACAGAGAGAGGGGAAGCAGACTCCCCACTGAGCTGGGAGCCCGACACAGGGATCAGTCCCAGGACCCTGAGGTCATGACCTGAGCCAAAGGCAGATGCATAACCGACTGAGCCACCCAGGCGCCCCTACTTTAAAAAACGGGGCGGGGGGGCACTGGGGGCTCAGTTGGTTAAGCATCTGCCTTCAGCTTAGGTCATAATTCCAGGGTCCTAGGATCGAGCCCCGCATTGGGCTCCCTGCTCTGTGGGGAGCCTACTTCTTCCCCTCCCTCTGCCACTCTGCCTGCTTGTGCTCGCTCTCTCTGTCAAATAAAATCTTAAATATACATACATACACACATGTATATATTATACACACACATATGTATATTACATATGTAATATGTATTACATATGTAATACATATTATATTACATATGTATACGTGTGTGTGTGTGTGTGTATAGTGGTTTAAAAAATTGCCCAACTGTACTAATAAAATGATCCTAGTCTCTAGAATACTCTTCAAAGCAACTCTTGCTTTTCGAGGTTCTATGTAGTAGTGCCCTGTGTTTTTATTTTTAAGGATTTGTTTTTTGAGGGGGGGATTTAATTAATTTATTTAGAGAGAGCGTGATTGGGGGGAGGGGTAGAGGGAGAGACTGTCAAGCAGACTCCCTTCTGAGTGCATAGCCTGACATGGGGCTCCATCCCATCTATGAGACAAAACCAAAGGTCAACCGACTAAGCCACCCAGGTGCCCCATTTAAGGATTTGTTTTTAATGATTTATGGAGATTCTCAGTGTAACTTCATTGGAGAATGCCCCATCTCTATATAGAAGAATACTTAAGTACTAGTGTTTCCAGGCTATACTAGCTACATTTCCATTTCTTTTTTAAAATTGTCATTGTTTAAAAATAAAATTATGTCATTGTTTATGTCTGTTGACTATTTGATGTCCTTGAAGCTAATGAAAATATACATTATAATCTTTGAATTATTTATAAATCATACATCAAACTGGTTGAAAATATGATTTCCTCGTTTTGAATCCATTTAAAAATATAACTTTGGTTTGATTTTGGTATGCTTTTGGTATGCTTTTGTTTTAAGGAGATTCAGTAAGTATATCTTTGTTTATCAGTGTAATGTTTTGCTTTGATGAGAGAAGCTTTTTATTTTTAACTTTGAGTAATTGGTATATATTTTTTTTGGTTAAATTGAATTCATAATATCCATTTTGGTTTTAAAGAGCAGATGTGTTCAAAAGTAACTCCTACCTACTTTTAAGATTTATTGGAGAAGAAAGGTGGGGTAAAGGAGTCTTTTCAGCTTCTGCCTAGGGTATTTTATAAACAAGCGAAATTTTGTTAAATCATGTGTTTTAAGTGAAATTGCTGTTTAAAATTTTTGTTTTAGGATAGTGGAGACTATCCACTTACCATGGCTGGTCCTCAGTGGAAGAAGTTCAAATCCAGTTTTTGTGAATTCATTGGCGTATTAGTACGGCAGTGTCAATATAGTATCATATATGATGAGTACATGATGGATACGGTCATTTCACTTCTTACAGGATTGTCTGACTCACAAGTCAGAGCATTTCGACATACGAGCACCCTGGCAGGTCAGTATTTAGAAATTTTTTTTGTATGTTTCCTTAGGTTAGAGATGAAAATGGTTTTCATTAAAAGAAATGATCATGACTCAGATTAATTTTACTTACAGAGTAACCACTAACAGAACACTCTCCCCGCTCTCCCGTGAATTACTGGGAATGCAATGATATTTTCAGTTTTGATTCTTTGACGGTATACTATAGTTAGTATGTGGTGATTTTCTTGTGTTAAACCTATTTGATTACTATGCCACAGAAAGGGAAAAGAGGTGGATAGGAATGTGTTGAATTCTTTTTTTTTGGAATGTGTTGAATTCTTGAAAGATGTTTTATCAGGGAAGATACTGACAGCAAATTTGGGGAGACCGTTAAGTCATTTTGGATATGTAGTCCTAATGACCTTTATTTTGTCTGTGATGTGAGCTGTTCCTCCTGATGGTCCCTGTAGGATGATGATTACTCGTTACACCACAAAAGTTGATTTTTCTTAGGTTTCTGAGTAACTTTAGACTGAGCTAAATTCTTTGCTTTTTTTTTTTTATAGCACAACTTATATATTTCAAATGGACAAAAAATTAGTATCGTTTACAGTATCAAGATAAATTGCCTTTGAATGGGAGCTTCCTTTCCAGTACTTTGAGGTCTACAAGACGTATCTAGAAAATGTACTACTGTGGAAAATGACTGCTTAAATCGAATGGGGGGAGGGGGGAGGGCCTGTGGTTTCTCTTTTTGATTAATTGCTGTAACACTGTCCTTCAGGCGGCTGAGGGAGTTTCATGTTTTCTTTAGACATCATTAGGCGCCGGAGCTCTTGCAGGACAACTTTGATGCTATATGAATTCTGCCATTTTGCTAGCACTGATATGGCTCTTGGGTCCACCACTCCATTAGAACTATTAACTCCATTCATATTAATTTTTGTTACAAATCTTACAAAGGGGGGTGCTTCTGGGTATTTAGGTCCACATTCTATTTTAAGGCTGTATATTCGGTTTTCATAAATTGTCCGAGCCCGTGGTGGCTGCCATCTTGCGTCGCTGTCGCTGGAAGACCGTAAATTCTTTGCTTTTTGAAATGAGTTCTATATCTTATATATTTTAAGCCTCACACAATTCTAGAACAGTGATTTTTGGTGTTGGTGTTTATAAAATCTTTTGGTTTCTCCTTTGTGGTAAAGGTAAAATTGTTGATACACTATTACTGAATATGTACTTTTTGGTTTGAGTTTGAAAAAACTAGGCATTCATTGTTATTATAGTATTATAAGCCTTAATGGTAGAATATATTGATTTACACAAAAATTTTTCATTCTCTAAGTGTGGGGATATTTTTTTCCTTTATTTTCCTAAAGAATTAAAGCTGTACTTTTGCTACATCCTCCATTTTCAAAAAACAAAATGCAGGTAATCTGGGGGAAGGAGGTGGAGGAAAAAAAATGCAGGCAATCTTTCTATAGGATTTTTGTTTTTAGAATGGAAGTCACAAAATAGGAATGTGATCTTGCTCTATGAACTTAGGTAGCATTTAATGTTACTTGGTGGCTAAAGTAAATTAAAATAAGTATGATGGCATAAGGTGAATAATTTTAGATCAGAATAACAAATTGGTTTGCTGAGGGAATGAAATAGCTCTGAAGAGAAAGTTGAGAATCCTTTTTAAAGAGACCCAATAGCCACAAATTGAGATTTAGGTTTGTGGTGTTCTCTTACACAATGAACCAGATCTGAGAAATAGTCTGAAGTAAACTAAAAAGGCATAAAATGGCAATATATTTCAATTAATAAGTTTTTTCTTAAGATTTTATTTATTTATTTGACAGAGAGAAAGACAGCAAGAGAGGGAACACAAGCAGGGGGAGTGGGTGAGGGAGAGGGAGAAGCAGGCTTCCTGCAGAGCAGAGAGCCTGATGTGGGGCTCAATCCCAGGACCCTGGGATCATGACCGGAGCTGAAGGCAGACGCTTAACGACTGAGCCACCCAGGCGCCCCCAATTAATAAGTTTTAAATCACAGACAGTCTTGTCTCAGGAGCAAGGGTTCAGTAACAGAAGGTGGGGGGGATCTGGAGGAAGTGTAATAAAATGCACTTTATTGAGTGGTATTTTTCTTTGTACTTTGACTTTTCATCTAGATCTGTTCTTCACCATTGTCTTTATGATGATATGTAATAGATTAAAATTAAAGGAAATCAAATATCAGTGAAACTAATTTTTACATATTGTAGTTTGATATGAAGCATTCAAGCTCCCTCTCCCTTTGGTAACGAAGATAGCTAAGTGACTGCCATAGGAACCAAAATTTACTGAGAAGGTGAATTATGACCTCTGAAAAAGATCATTGTAGGGGACACATTTTAGAATAGTGGGATTTGAGTGTAGTCTGAAGTCAGATCACCTAGTTTTGAATACTGGTTTAACTACTTACGTGAACTGTGAAATTTCTTAATCTCCGTGGACTTCAGTTTCCTCATGAATGAAATGGGGATAATACTTCACTTTAAGGGCTTTTGGGGAGGATTAGGAGATAATCCATGAGAAATACTTAACATAGGTAACTGACATACAGTTAAGTATTCAGTACACATTAGCTGTCATTTATTGTCATTTGTAGCAGCTGTATTTTTCTGTTAGAAGCAGAACAGCCCATCTTGTCTTTAATTTCTCTTAATTTGATATTAAATTGTAAATTTTTGCATCTGTGAGACTAATTTCAAATTTTTCCATTTAAAAATAGCTATGAAGTTGATGACAGCTTTGGTGAATGTGGCACTAAATCTTAGCATTAATATGGATAATACACAAAGACAATATGAGGCAGAACGGAATAAAATGATTGGAAAACGAGCCAATGAGAGGCTAGAACTCCTGCTACAGAAGCGGAAAGAGGTAAACTTTGTATTGAATATTTGAGCTGTTATCCATGACCAACTTTGATCATTAATTACGATATAATGTTAGTTCATCAGATAAATTTTTTGGAAAGATTTAAATTTAAAAAATATTTCAGGTTGTTTAAATGTCTAGTTTTGTTGACTGTCCATGCCAACAATACCTTTTGCTTATATTTTCTTTCTTTGTAGGCTAGGGTTAAGAGTTTAAGGCTTTCAGTAAGGTCCTAGGCCAGTCAGACAAGTTGTTTTAAGCCTTAGTATTATTCATGTCTGCTGTGAGAATGTCTGTCCTAACTTCCCTGAACTAGTTGTCAGGATGAATTCAAGTTTCAGTTATATGACATCACTTTGAAAAATAACTTACAGGCTATTTATGGTTTCTAAATCGCTGCTTTTTTTTTTGTGGTATAGGTGGCAGTTGATTAACATGGCTGATCACCAAATTTAACTTTGAATGAGGAAGATATTTTTCATTCTTATGCTAAATATTTTTTAAGAGGGGGAGGGGCAGAGGGAGAGAGAATCTTTTTTATTTTTTTAATTTTGGGGGGGTTATTTTAAGCAAACGCCACACCCAGCATGGAGTCTAGTGCGGAGCTCCATCTCACAATCCTGAGATCACAACCTGAGCCGAAATCAAGAGTGGAAGCTTAACCGACTCGGGCACGCCCTAAATATAGTCTTTCAATGTTGTGTTTGTGATTTTAATTTCTTCTTCATTAGTGATATTTTGCTATCTGATATTGGCGATGTTTCTTTCTTTTTTTTTTTTTAAAGATTTTATTTATTTATTTGAGAGAGAGAGAGCATGAGAGGGGGGAGGGTCAGAGGGAGAAGCAGACTTCCAGCCGAACAGGGAGGATCACGACCTGAGCTGAAGGCAGTGGCTCAACCGACTGAGCCACCCAGGCGCCCCTGGCGATGTTTATTTCTAATAGGCAAAATCTGATGTTTCAAAAATGTTAGTAATACATTTCAGGTAATATTTGCCATGGTAATCCAGAAATTACTACTTGATTTTGACATATTTGGGGTTGGTAGTAGCTGTAATTTTTAGTTGGTTATTTCTGAGATAGTAACTTTTTAAAATGCCGTGACTCAACAAAAGCCTAAAAATCTTGTCGATATTTCCCCCCTACCTAAATTCCTCATCTTTTTCATCTAGTTTGAAATGAAGAATTGGCCTTTCTGCCTCTTAATTGTAGTGATTAAATTTCATCAGATGATTTATTAGGTAAACATAATGCATGTCTTAGGCCTTGAAATTATGGCCCAATTCTCAGACATAAATTTAAGACCGTGAGCATTGAATGAGTGGATATAGGTAAGAGGATTTTGAGATTAAAATTCCTGTGCAAATAAAAGATATTGATACTTCTGGCTTAGGGTTAAGTTTTTTGACCACCATGTACCTTTGACTGTGCTAATGAAAATAAGAAGTGCACTCCCTTGTTAGCATTATTTGGAAATGCAAGAATATATCCATGAAAAGAAAAAAATACATTTTACAAAAGTGCAGAACGTAATAAAAGAGCTAATTGATACTTAGACTGGGAGAAAGATATTTCTCCTAACTCTCAAACTCTGAAACAATTTTGTCTTAATTCTCAAACTCTGAATTGAAAATAATGGGAGTAGGTAAGTGAACCAAGATTGTGAAATGTGTACTTGATTATTTAAGGTGAGCCTTGTTTCCTTCAAAAGAATTTAGCAGGGTAACTTTCTACCAAATTATTTTACTCAAACCTCTTTTGTTCTTTGAGCAGACACTAGTTAGCATTACTTTTCTTTTTCAGATGATAATGACCAAGATAATAAAATATTATTATGCTTTTTTGATATGAACATATATGTTATATAATAGATGATATGTGTTGTAATAAATTACTTAACAGATTTATGTGCCTTTTTACAAGGGAAATTTGTGAGCCTTAGAAAAGGGTAATCTGCCAGCTAAACATTAAAAGCCAAGTCAAATATTCCAGGTATCAAGGGACTTTAGCTACCTGACCTACAACAGCTGTTAATTTTTCTGTGTGGTTACTGTTGTCTAGTAGAATTAAAAATTAGATGTAATCACCAAAACACTGGAGAAACCTGTATTTGTATTTGTAATGACTTTTAGATGTTATTTTGGTTGTATTTCATTACAGTTGAAAAGAAATAATGTATTGTTTTCAGCTTCAGGAAAATCAAGACGAAATAGAAAATATGATGAATGCAATATTTAAGGGAGTGTTTGTACATAGATACCGGTAAGTCAGGACATATTTTCTATGTAAGTCTTACTCTAGTCAGGTTTGGATATTTAGTGGTTTAGGCAGTATAAAGTAGTAGAGCATTGGAGTAAGATCAGTGTTAGAAGGTAAGGTCTTCCACTGATTGAGATATTCTAGTTAAGTTATTTAACTGCTCTGAAATTGATGTTTCCTCACTGAAAAATGGGGTAATGTGCTTGACTAGTACCTGCCCAGCAGATGGAGTCTACTTCTATGATTAGGAGTCAGGGTACAAAATACTTAATTGCTTTTGGATGTACTATGTTAGTAGAAACTATACACGATAGTTCAGGACTCTGTCATTTGCATGTCAGTGGGAAAATTTGGATAGATTTAAGTATTTTCTTTTACTATTTTGAATGAGCAGAGGAAAGAAGTAGGTAATCTTATCACCATTTCTGCTGTAACCTATTCTTTAAATGTTAGTGGTATTTTTATTCAACTTCTCCCTCACTTCAACTTGACAGTTATTGAATCACTTTCTTTGTAATGTCTCTTGGTCCATTCTTACCTTTCTGTTTCTGTTGTCACCATTATCTTAGTCTATTCCTCTATCATTCTCATACCTAGAGATTATTGAAGTTTTCCTAAAACATTCTTTTGTTGTGTTATTCCTCTGCTCAAAAGCTTTCAGTGACTCACTAGTACCTACAGGATGAATTCAAAATAATTTAGTCTGACATTCAAATCCAAATGAAGCTTGGCCTCAGTGTTACATGTAACTAATTCTCTCCTGGAAAATTATGCTCTAACCAAATTAGTGTGCCTGCTGTCTTCTGAACACACCATGCCCAGCAGGTGTGAGCAGAGGCTGGGATATTTCATGGTATAAAAGGTGGGGGTCTCATTTTGTTTGTATTTTTATTTAATTTAAAATATTTATGTGATGAAAATTACGCTTTGCCAGGTAGTCTGTAAACATTTAGGGGATCATGCTTCAGTTCTACTTTTAAATCCCCAGTAATCTTTTAAGATAGTGATATGTTCATACTAGGTGTGAAGTATTTGGCAGCTCTTGGATAAATCACAAATCCTGATGTTATAGTGGAACTAATATACATAATTTTTCCTTCCTCCACTCAGTGATGCAATAGCTGAAATTCGAGCTATTTGCATTGAAGAAATTGGCATTTGGATGAAAATGTATAGTGATGCCTTTCTAAATGACAGTTATTTAAAATATGTTGGCTGGACTATGCATGATAAGGTAAGATATACCCTTACAGAATGTTTATCTGTCTACACATAGGCATAGCTATCTAGAGCTCTCATTCATAATGAGTTATCTTTGTATAGGTATACCTGGGACCACATTCCTATAGGCCTTTCTCCTTTATTCTTTTCTATCTGCTCCATGAAAACATGGTCTCTATCGCATAAAGTCCCCTAGACTTTTTTAATCTTGGTAACTGATTTAGACTTCAATCTTGAATTATTTTTTGTAGTGAAACAAACATTAGAATCATGTAGGTGGTAGTGGTTAGGCATTTCTTAGAGCTGTAAGAAGAGTCTTTATTCTTACTATGTGAGTGCTATATACTTTTTGAAATTTTTCTAACTTTTCTTCTCTCTTCATAAACATGTATCTTAGCAGGTTATAAATTACAACTTGGTCTCTGACATACTTTTATTTTATTTTATTTTATTTTATTTTATTTTATTTTATTTTATTTTATTATTCTGCCTTTCTCTTAGGCTGCCTCTTCACTAGCCTTGAAGTTCTTTGCATGTATCCTTTATAAATACTACGTTCTGTAAAGGAAAACTTACTGTGAAATATGCTACTATTGTCTTTTACAATAGTATTGCTCTGAACAAATTTTCAAAAAATTTTCACTTGACATACAGAAATAGTAACCCCAAAGGTATTTAGTATTAAATGTATGTATTGATTCCTATTTTTTCATTATCAAAGATGAGAGTTTTTGAAAATGAGAGTTTTGAAGCATTGTATGGAACATATTTAAAAATCTAAAGTAAAAGATACTGTGTATGTCTTGAATATTCAGGTTGAAAATAGCAGAGTTTTAATGCATTTTCTCCTCTTGCTTTATTTAGCAAGGTGAGGTAAGACTCAAATGTCTCACTGCTCTACAAGGGCTTTATTATAACAAAGAGCTTAATTCCAAACTGGAGCTTTTTACCAGTCGGTTCAAGGTTAGTATTACTTTAAGTATTTAAAAATTACCTGTTTGAAAATATTTTTCTCTTACTTTAAAAATACCTTAATTTTTTTTGTCCTTAGGATAGAATTGTGTCTATGACCCTTGACAAAGAATATGATGTTGCAGTACAAGCAATAAAATTACTTACTCTTGTTTTACAGTAAGTATGTACTTATTGCATATTACTAATGTCCAGATATTTAAATAATTCATTAGACAACATGGTTTAAATTTATCTGGTTCTAAATTTTAATAACTTAAGACATGGAATTTTTACAGCTGGAAGTTTAATTTTCTCATGTAAGATTGAGTAAACGGAAAGAAGGAACCATTAGACTAGAATATTTTAAATGAGCTAGGAAATCCTGTGTTCCGATTCTAATGATCAGTTTCCTTTCCATTTCACTGTCTTAGGTGCCCTTGAAAAAAAGTAAACACTTGAGTGTATTAAATGTGCTTATTATATTTTGTTACACTTTTAGAAATTAGTATTTACTGAAATTTCTCTGGAAACAATCTGAATTTAAAACATTCTGTTGTGTTAAAATGTAATAACGATGCAATTTTTTCCTTTTTAAAAAATTTACCATTTTAATTTAAAAAAGTTTTTTTAAATTTCTAATTGAAGTGTAGTTGGCAAATAATATTAAGTTCACTTCAGGTGTACAACATAGTGATTCAATAATTATATACTTTATGAAAAGCTCGCCACAATACGTGTATTACGGTATTACTGACTATATTCCCTATGATGTACTTTTCATCCTTGTGACTTATTTATTTTATAACTGGAATTTTGTACCTCTTAATTCCTTCATCCATTTCGCCATTCCCCTACTCCCCTCCCCTTTGGTAACAGCGCATGAGGCTTCCTTTTTTTCCATTCTCGCCAACACTGTTCTTGTCTTTTTGATACTAGCCATTCTGACTGGTGTGAAGTGATACCTCATTGTAGTTTTGATTTGCATTTCCTTAATGATTAGTGATGTTGACCATCTTTTCATTTGTCCGTTGGTCATCTCTATGTCTTTGGAAAAATGTCTATTCAAGTCCTCTGCCCAGTTTTTAAATCAGATTTTTCTTCATTTTTGCTGTTGAGTTGTATGAGTTCTTTATAAATGAAAACAGTATGGAGGTTCCTTAAAAAACAAACAAAAAAAACCTAAAAATAGAAGTACCATAGGATCCAGTAATTCCACTTCTGGGTATTTACCCAAAGATAATGGAAACACTAATTTGAACAGGTACATGCACCCCTATGTTTATTGGAACATTATTTACTATAGCCAAGACATAGAAGCAACATAAGTGCCCCATCAACAGATGAATGGATAAAGAAGATGTGGTGTGTGTGTGTGTGTGTATATATATATACACACACACACACAGTAGAATATTAGTCATAAAAATTTTTAGAATTTTAAACGTATTTTAAGTGTACAGTTTAGTAGCAGTTAGTATGTTCACCTTGTGAAGCCATCACCATTATGCATATCCAGAACTATTTTTAATCATCCCATACTAAAACTTCGTACCCATTAAGCACTTAATTCCCCATTCCTTCCTTCCTGCCTAGCCCCTGGTGACCACTGTTGTGCTTTTTATCTCTATGAATTTAACTGTTTTAGGTAATTCACATAAGTGGAATCTTACAGTATCTGTCCTTTTGTCACTGGCTTATTTCAGTTACCATGGTATCTTCAGAGTTCATTCATGTTGCAGCGTGTAGATTTCATTTACTTTTGAGGCTCAGTAATATTCTGTTGTATGTTTATACCACATTTTATTTACCCATTCATCTGTCAGTGGACATTTAGATTATTACCATGATCCAAATAATAATTGCCAAAGGGTATTTTTTTTAACCTAACATGCTACTTCTGCCACTCCTATGGAAAATTCATCATGTAATAGTAGCCAGTGAAATTGTGATAAAAGCTAATGTGTGATGACTGCCCAGTATCATTTTAAGTCATATTGTAAAACCGTAGTAATTTTTAAATTTTGGTACTGGTGTGTGAACAGACTGATTACCGGCAGAGAATAAAGAATACAGACAAACGCAAACAAATCCAGGAACCTAGTATAGGGTGAGGGTGGCATTTCCTTTAAGAAAATAAATGGTTTTGGGGCACTTGGGTGGCTCAGTCGGTTGAACATCTGCCTTCGTCATGATCTCAGGGTCCTGGGATTGAGCCCCATGTCGGGCTCCCTGCTCTGCAGGGAGCCTGCTTCTCCCTCTGTCTGCTGCTTCCCCTGCTTGAACGTGTGCTCTCTCTCTTGCTGTCAAATAAATACATAAAATCTTTAAAAAAAAAAAAAAAAAGATGAATGGTTTTGTGACAGCTAGGTTCTATTTGGGGAAAAATTGAATCAGATTCCCATCTCATTCCTTATACAAAAATAATTTCCAGATGGATGACATGTTTAAATGCAAGTGAATGAAACCATTAAAGTACTAGATGAAAACTTGGGAAGATTAAACATTTTTTTTTATTTTATATGTAAAATGAGCAAGAGCTCTCTGAACATGACATAAAACCTAGACATAAAAAAATCATTAACTACGTAAAAATGAAAAAATGTCTATATGACATAAAATACCATAAACTCAGAAAACCAATGACAGATTGGTCAAAATATTTTTATCATTGGAGTCAATTTTAATAAATAAGGTTGGAAACCTAATAATGGTCAAAAGTTAGAGAACCAGATCATGGACAGAAAGAAAATTTAAAAATACATGAAAAGATGTTTAGCCACATTCAGAGACAGGTAAATTAAAATGAGATCATTTTTTAACCTGTTGCTTGACAAAGGTAGAAAAGTGTTTGGTAATACACTGTGTTGTTGAAGCTGTGCAAAAACAGGTCGTTAAAACACTGTGATGGGGGACTATAAATTGGTATAACCCCTTTGGAGAAAAGCTTGGCAGTATCTATATTCAAAATTTTAAATGCTCACATTCTCTAACATAGCATTGTTTGTAGTAGAATTATTGAAATAGCCTAAATGATTATCAGTAGAGGAAGAATTAAATATGTAAGATAATAGCTATTTTGAGCAGTCTTAACTATTGCATTTTCTTTTTTAGTTGGACTTAAAAAATTAAATATATATACATGTTATGAAAGTATTGAAAGAATTATGAAATAAGAAAGTAATTGTACTCTATATGTATTTCTGTAGCTACTGCTTCCTCAATACCCTGTGGACATCTTTCCTTATTTCTCATATTTTTATGAAGGATAATAGACTCATTTATGTTGATTCAGCCATTATAAATACCTAATAACTGAAAGTTGTCAGGAACATTCCTTCTCAATGAAAATGAGTGAACTACTGCACATTTAACTATACTTTAACTGATTTGATTCAATATATGTCTTTTCATTATAAAATGACACAAGTGGTTTTTCCGGTAACAATTCGGTATTATACATAGAGTATCTTAAGTCAAAAGGCTTTCAAAACTTGAATTTTAACATTTTGGTTTTGTTTCTCTCAAAAAGAAGTAATATTTCCTTAGATCAGACTTCTGGAAACTTTGAGCACAGCAGAAAACCAAAAAGGATCTGATCATCTAATGTACTTTAGACTTTTATTTTTTGCTGGTGGTGGTCTTACGGTTCTCAATTTACATAGAGTGCTAAAAACGTAGATTGTTTATTTCACAGCAGATGGAAAGCATATTAGGGGGTAAAGAGCTGCCAGACACCGGGACCCTGAAAGCAGAGTCTGTAAGGGAAGAACTCGATGAGGTTTACCCTGGGGTACTGTGATTGATGGTCCTAATAATGACTTTTATTTACCAGGAAGATTTTATTAGGTTTATTTTCTTTTTTAAAAATAAGATCAGGAAAATGAACACTACATTTTAGTGAGATTTTTCCAGTGGTAGATGGTAATTAAAGGTCTTTGGCATTTAAATGTTGATTATTTCAAAAAACCATTTGCATTTACTCATATGGTGTTTAGTACATGGTGAAGTATTCATCATTGTGAGATAATTGGGCTGTTAGTATATTTTAATGTGATACTATCTTGTTAATATTACTGTGAAATATATACAGAGTGTTTTCTGTGATTATTAACTCTAAGCTCTTAGAATGCCACCACTTAATTTTTTTATATTTATATTATTTTGTCTTCCTTTCTCTTAAGCATCCTTGTCACATTATTACTTCTCTTCAACATATACTTCTGTATTCTGGTATTCACTCTAATTTGACTTCCCATTGATCTTAGATGTTGACAAAATATTCAGCTCTTTTGTCAGGGCATGCTTTTACTGACAGGTGATAATCAAATAGGGTCAATTTTTCTTTTTCTTTTTTTAACACAAGTAGTGAAAAGTGTATTATTTGTAATGTACAAGCATGGATCGTTGTATTCAGTATCCTTAAAATTAAGTCATTGAAACTGCTACTGCTTTTTTTTTTTTTTTTTAAGGAGTAGTGAAGAAGTTCTTACTGCAGAAGATTGTGAAAATGTCTACCATCTGGTTTATTCAGCTCACCGGCCAGTAGCAGTAGCAGCTGGGGAATTTCTCTACAAAAAGTAAACCTATATTTTCATATTTTCTAAAGTATACTTTTATGATAGTAATTTTATTGTACTATAATCGATACTAAAAATATATATAATTCATTTAAAAACTATTCATACAGGTCAAGTAGAAACTTTCACATTTTACTCTTTAAAGGTTTCAATTCTGCAATTTACTGGATTTGTAGAAGTTAAATCTTCACAGGGAAATGTCTTTTATTGAATAAAATACATAAAAATATATATATAAAAATACACCTAACTACATCATGATGTTAAGACCTTTTCCTAATTTTTCATTGTTTTCTCCATTGTCAGCTTCTAACTATTGCCCTATTATAATATTTAGTCTTAAGCCTGTTATTGCTTGCTTTAGAAGATATTAAAAGGTTTTGCTTCACGTGTTTGATATAGTTTGACATAAGAATCCCCAAAGTCCTATAGTCCTTTTTATGTTGGTGTAACACCTCAGATTAAGTAAGTAGTATGGATAGCAGTGTGAATATCTGACCACAGAAAACATTCAGCAAGTGTTATGTAATGGCTTTTATTTTATTTATTTATTTTTTAAGATTTTATTTATTTGAGAGAGAGTGAGAGAGAGCACAAGAGCAGGGTTGGTGGGGGGGGCAGAGGGAGAAGCAGACTCGGAGCCCGATGTGGGACTCGATCGACCTGAGCCGAAGGCAGACGCTTAACCGCTCAACCACTAACTCAGTTGGTTAAGCGTCTGCCTTTGGCTCAGGTCATGATCCTGGGATACTGGGATCAAGCCCACTGTACAGTTCCCCTGCTCAGTGGGGAAGTCTGCTTCTCCCCTTCCCTCTGCCCCTCTCCCTGCTTGGGTGCTCTCTCTCTTTCTCTCTCTCCAATTAATAAAGAAAATCTTAAAAAAAAGAAAAGACAGTTTCTCTTAAAAAAAAATAAAGAGAACAGTTTGAACCACATGGACTAAACTATATCTTTGTAAGATTTTATTAAAATGCCTGTTTGGGATGGGGGAGCGTTTATTAGAGTACGTGATGTAAAATGTTCATACTCTAGTTTCTGTTCATTGCTACCCAGTGATATTTCTTTGTTATTTATAAGGAAAAACCACCATGATATCCATAGAAAGAGGCCACTGAAGTCACTTTGAGACAATTGTGCAAGAAGGATAGAAGGAAAATATATGTTCAGTTTTAAAGAGATGAATATTTATCATAAATTAATGTGCATAAATGGTATGGGCTAGTGTAATACTTTTACAAAAGGAAATGGTTGCATAAAATGCAGTAGTGTTTTTATTTTTTATTTTTTTTAAAAAAAGATTTTATTTATTTATTTGACACACAGAGAGAGATAGCGAGAGAGGGAACACAAGCAGGGGGGAACGGGAGAGGGAGAAGCAGGCTTCCCGCCGAGCAGGGAGCCCGATGCGGGACTCGATCCCAGGACCCCGGGATCATGACCTGAGCCGAAGGCAGACACTTAACGACTGAGCCACCCAGGCGCCCCTGCAGTAGTGTTTTTAAAAAGAAATAATCCAGGGGTGCCTGGGTGGCTCAGTCTGTTGGGCGTCTGCTTTTGGCTCGGACTATGGTCTCAGGGTCCTGGGATTGAGCCCCACAGCAGTCTTCCTGCTCAGCGGGGAGCCAGCTTCTCCCTCTCCCTCTGCATGTTGCTCTCCCTGCTTGTGCTCTTTTGCTTGCTTGCTCACTCTCTCTCAAATAAATAAAATCTTAAAAAAAAGAAGTAATCCATAACTCCATAAAATTAACTTGAGAAGTTAATTTAAGAGGACTTAGAAGTACCATTAAGTATGAAATGAAAAAGGTTTATAGCTATTATTTACTTGGGTATCATGTTGGAGAATACTTACCCAGGTCCCATTTACTCTCTTATTAGATGCTTAAATATGAATTTAATTTTTTAAATTAGGAAATAGGGTTTTTTTGTTTTAAAAGTAAATACTTTGTCTTGATCATAGGCTCTTCAGTCGTAGAGATCCAGAGGACGATGGTATGATGAAAAGAAGGGGACGACAAGGTCCAAATGCCAACCTTGTTAAGACATTGGTTTTTTTCTTTCTGGAAAGTGAGGTTAGTTGATGTTGTTCATTTTATACTTATGTTCAAAACAATTTGGAGAAGGGGTTGAAATAACGTACATCTTAAAATCTTCCATATATCACAGTAAATCTTGGATATAATAGAGTTGTACCCATTACACAAAATTTAAAAAAATTCTTTTAGTAAGATGTTCAAATAATAGGATTTATGTATAGTACTAAGAATATGAATTTTGGAGTCAGAAAGACCTGATTACCAATTGGGCCCCTCTACTTACTATTTGCGTAACTGGTTTAGTTACTTAATCTTTCTAGGCCTCATTTTCCTTGTAAAAATGTGGGTAATAATTTCTTAGGTATCACTGAGCTAATCCATGTAAAACTCTCTTTTTCATGTGAAACTCTTTAACACAGACCTTGCACTTTGTTCTCAATATTTGATACCTGCTTTATTAATTTTGTAGATAAGGATTTACATTTTAACATCAGCTCTTTTAGGTTTCCCTCAGATTGAAAATTTGCCTGTTAAGCAGAATTTGAGAGGATCCAGCGTACATTTTTGGTGTTCATATTATGTATTATTCAATCAGTTTTAGGGTCTTTTAAATAAATTTTTAAATTTTTTCTGTATATAGAAATACAGTTGGTTTTTGCATATTGACCACTCATCTGTAACTTTGCTAAATTCACTTATTTTAGTAAGGTTTTAATAGATTCCTTGGGATTCTTTATAATAATGCAGTCAAGTCATTTGCAGATAATGTTCAGTTTACTTCTTCCTTTCTTACATTTATGCCATTTTCCCCTCGCCTTATTGAACTGATTAGGACATCCAGTAGAATGTTCATCTTTGGATTATTCCTGATCTTAGGGGAAAGGCATCCAGTATTTCTATATTGTTATTAGTGATAGGTCACATGGTAGTTGTTTATATTGAGAATGTTTCCTTCTATCCCTTCTGTTGAGTTTTATCATGAACGGATGTTGAATTCTGCCCAATGCTTTTTCTGAGGTGATTATTTTATTGAGATGATTATTTTATCCTTCATTATGTTAATATTTGAATTATGTTGACTGGTTTTTTGAATGTTGAACCAACCTTGAATTCCTAGGATAAAACCTACGTAGTCATGATCTGTTATCCTTTCTATATATTTCTGGTTTCGCCTTGCTAGTTTTTTGAGGATACTCCCTCTATGTTCATGTTAGATGTTGGCTTCCACATTTTTTTATTCGTAATGTCTTTGACAGGTTTTGGTATCATTGTAATGATAGTCCCCTAAAACAAGTTGGGAAGCTGTAGGGCCTTTTAGGCTTCACAAAACGAAGATAAATAATATGCTTATATATTGAATTGATAAACTTTTTTTAATGTTTTAAGTAACCATTATCCCTCCCCTTAAATTAAATTCATAGTATATTTTATAACTGAGTGTGGTTAACTCATGTAATATTGAGTCCAAATAGGCACTAAATATACATGCATATAATCTTCTCAGAATTAATTTTCTGGTTATCTAGTGTAATGATTATTGTGAGACATGTTTAATGATACTACCCAACTGGGTTTACTTATACTCAGCCAGCTAAGGCAGTTTCTTTGTCCTGTTTTCCATTTGACCTCAAAAAACAGATTGCTGTTTGAGTTTGTACATGGTGCCAACAAAGCTTCCATTCTTTTGAGTTAAGGCTAGTATGCTATTTGTCTAAGAGCAATTGCTCTTTTTTAATTTTAGTTACATGAGCATGCAGCTTACCTTGTGGATAGCATGTGGGACTGTGCTACCGAGCTACTGAAAGACTGGGAATGTATGAATAGCTTGTTGCTGGAGGAGCCTCTTAGTGGAGAAGAAGGTAAATGGCTGTTTAGTTATGGTATTTTGTTGTCTAGTCAGTTTTTTTAAAACAAATTTTACTTAGGGCATTTGTTTATCTTTAATATTAAAAAGTAATTGAGAGTGCTTATTAATATCTTTAATATTAAAAAGTAATTGAGGGGTGCCTGGGTGGCTTAGTCAGTTGGGCGTGTGATTCTTTCTTAGGGTCCTGAGATTGGGCCTCGTGCTGGGTACGTAGTCTGCTTGAGATTCTCTCCTTCTCCCTCTCTCTCTACCCCTCCCCTGCTGGAGTGTTTTCTCACTCTCAAATAAATAAATCTTTAAAAAAAAAAGTACTTGAAAATATTTGTGAATAATTTTGTTTTCATATACACGAATATTACGAAGAAAGATGTAGTTGCTGTCAATATTGAATTTTTAAAAAATTTTTCTGGTATCTGTGTTCATATTTTCTTTGGTTAAATTGTGGACTAGTGGTACACAGATTTGTACTGTTCAGTAAACGAGTTCTCATCCTATCTGTGATACAGTAATGGGATTTTCTTTAGTATATTAGGTCAGATTCTGTCACAGGCAGGATTGTTATGTAATACTTAATAAGTAACATATAGGGAAAAGAAATAGGTTAATTCTTTCTGATTTTTTTTTCAGCACTGACAGATAGACAAGAGAGTGCTCTGATTGAAATAATGCTTTGTACCATTAGACAAGCAGCTGAATGTCATCCCCCTGTGGGAAGAGGGACAGGAAAAAGGGTATGTTGGTATAGTTTCACTATTCTAAGGTGTGTTTCTCCTTTTGATTATAATTTTAAAAATTCTTGCATGTAACTATAGAGCCAAATTTTTTAATCTTACACTTTATTTTTCAGATGATCTTTGCTAATACATATGTGTTAGAAGTAAATTTTAAAGTATTAGCAATGGGAAATTTGAGTTCTTTCCATGAGATACTTTGTTAGTTACTACAGGAGATAAAGTGATTGCTCTCAAGACTAATTCTAGCTCACCGTTTTAGAATGGTGCATTTTTGCATTTTGGTTTATTTATAGATTTGCTTTCTTTTCCTTTTAATAAAAATCAGGAATTAAAACATAATTATTCATCAGAATGGAGAAATTCCTATTTCCCTGAATTATATTTTAATGCATCACTGCAAAGTTCACATATATTTGTATTGTAGACCAACAACTCCACAGCCTTTGAAAACTTTTTTGATTATGAGGCACAAAAATACATGGTTTGTTACATAGTATACATCTATATATATGTGTTTGTGTATAACAAACAAAAGTTCTTCGAACAATACTTATGGTATGTGACGCATTCTATTTTATTTTGTTTTTTTTTTTTTTCCTTTTTCTAATTGATGATAGAATTCATGCTATCATGAGTGAATTCATAACCCATGCATCATGGCCCACAGCTTAGAATAGGCTGAAATGCTACTCAGTCCCATTATTATGTAAGCTCCTAAACTACATTTCCTTCCTAACTGCTGCTTTATTTATCTAATGGTAGTGTTGGTTAATTTAATTGGGTATTGGTTTTGCCTCTAGAACTATTCCAAGTTTTTTTTTTGCTGTTATTTTAGGTGGGTTTTTAAAAAATATTGTGCTCGTTATAGTCATTCTTTGTTACTTTTGGGTTTCATGTTTTATAGTAGAAATTTTGGTATCCGTCATTTAAAATGTAGTTTCATTACTTATTTTGTATGTCTTAACTTAAACTTGAGCATCTAACAGTGTTACTAGTTTTAATAAATACTTAAAAGCATCTCTGTGCTACTTTAGGTGCTGACAGCGAAGGAGAAGAAGACCCAGTTGGATGACAGGACAAAAATCACTGAACTTTTTGCTGTGGCCCTTCCTCAGTTATTAGCTAAGGTAAGTTTGTATAATAGGAGAGTATTTGTAAGAAATTACAGGTTTTCTTTGGAAATGTCAAACTGATTTGTATTATAATGTTTATTTAACATTATTGTGATGTTTTGACATGATTTTTTTTTTATTTCAAAGTACTCTATAGATGCAGAAAAGGTGACTAACTTGTTGCAGTTGCCTCAATATTTTGATTTGGAAATATATACCACTGGACGATTAGAAAAGGTACAATGTTTCCTCTGTATAAAAACACCTTGAAGAAAAACTACTAGTTTTGTTCATCCCATCATATTGTTTATTTATATTCTTGAACCTTCTCATGTTAAAGGAAACCTACATTTTATATATCTTCTTTATTTTTTATAAGTTGGATTTAGAGAAAGGCGTTAATGAGGCTTTCCTTTGATTCATGACCATAGCCATTTTCTCATTCCTAGCCATTATTTGACTATATCTGAGAGATTTAAGGAGATTGGGGGTAGGTAGCTGGATAATAACAATTATAAAATGAAAACAGTTAATACTCATTGAATACTTTTTTTTTAATCTTTTTTTTTAAGATTTTATTTATTTATTTGGCAGAGAGAGAATGAGAGATAGAGAGCACGAGAGGGAAGAGGGTCAGAGGGAGAAGCAGACTCCCTGCTGAGCGGGGAGCCCGATGTGGGGCTCGATCCCAGGACTCCGGGATCATGACCCGAGCCGAAGGCAGTTGCTTAACCAACTGAGCCACCCAGGTGCCCCATCATTGAATACTTTTATAAATTCTTTGTATTAACATTCTCACCAAAGCCCTGTGAGATAGGTAATATTATTCCCATTAAAGCTGAGGAAATAAGTATATGGGTGGATCAGTGTATTTATTTACTACGACTAGGAAAACACATCAAAACGTATGCCCTACTTGTTGTAGAGTTATTATTTTTGAAGCTTTTTAGTGTAGTCTTTCTGTGCCTATCATATATACCTTAGTTTTTTCTAATATGTACCTTAGTTTTAATGAAAAAAACTTTGATTTTGCAGCATTTGGATGCCTTATTACGACAGATCCGGAATATTGTAGAGAAGCACACAGATACAGATGTTTTGGAAGCATGTTCTAAGACTTACCATGCACTCTGTAATGAAGAGTTCACAATCTTCAACAGGGTAGATATTTCAAGAAGTCAACTGATAGATGAGTTGGCAGATAAATTTAACCGGCTTCTTGAAGATTTTCTGCAAGAGGTATATATTAAAAAGTATTTTGTCAGTTCGTCCCTCCCCTTGAGTAACTGAATTAGTCACCATTCCTGGTGATAGTCCCTTAGCAGTATGTTGAAAAATATTCAGACATTCTGTTCTTTGGTTATCATGCTACTATTACTCCTCCACCAAAATGGGAAGGTGGTAAGAATCTGACTTGGAGAAGATGAAAGCAAAACTAATCCCCCCCCTTTAACTTTAAAGAAATGATCTCAGAAGTTACCAGGGTTTAGCTAAACTAAAGGCTGTTAGGCGACAGGGTATAAATGGAACAGAAAAGGAGAGCTAGACTCTGGCCATGTAGCCTCAAAAAGTAGTGTATTTTGTACTGTTTTGGCAGTGTTAGTATGGAAAGGTAATTAATGATCTTTGATACTGTAAAGCCTTGATAAATTGCTGTTATAGCCACTGTGGATTTTGGGGTTTCCTGTGTTCTATTTCCAAAGAAACTTAAAAGTGTGGCACTCAAATACACTAATGGTTTTTTTTTTTTTTTTTTTTTTTTACTTTTATGTGTTTTGATTAAGGAGGGTACATGTTGAGATGAGCACTGGGTGTTATATGCAACTAATGAATCATTGAATACTACATCAGAAACTAATGTTGTACTATACAGTGGCTAACTGAATATTAATAAAAAAAAATATCTACTTCACAGTTTAATTGACTTGCATAAAATAAAAAGTCATAATTCTCAAATTAATGCATTTAGCCCTTTCCACATCACTTTTGTCATTAATGCTGCAAAGATCATATGGACTGTGTAATTTTCAGTTTTCTTGTTTAGCCATTACTTCTTAAGCTTTCTTTTTTTGTGTAACAATCCATGCTTATAAGTTTTGCCTAACTGGCGGTTTGTGCAAATAAGTTAATACACAGTGATCACATTCTTAGTTAAAAAATGTAATGGCTTTACTCTTGGCTAGATATGATTGTGATTAGGACGAGTTAATTTAAAATCAAGCAGTGGGTTAATTAAGTTTAATTATTTGTGTAGAAAAACTAAGTTTAGAAACAAGCATTTTTTGAGAGACGTGGGGTTCAGTACAGTATGTTTGATAGTGTTTAAAAAAATTTGTAAGTTTCATGCAGTAAGACTCATAAAATTTTCAAAAACTTAAGTTACTCTTAATTGGAAAATTGATATCCAGAAAGGACTAGCGCATATCTAGTCTTTATTCAGAAGGTTTTTCCCAAATTGTTACTGGTCTGGTATGTCTTTCTTGAGCACTGTGTTTCATTCATTTAGGTTTTATCTTTTAGGTATTGTCTTTATGATCTCTTGCTTGTCCTTTACTATATTTTTCTTTATTGTCTTAATGCATTTTTTACTGTGAAAGACTAGATGTCTTCATAGTTTTGTGTCAAGGTTACTTTAAGGGAGAGGGGAGAATGTCATTCATTGTTTCTTTTTGGGTATAATGTACCAGTGATAACAACTCTGTTGGCTGATTACTCCAGCCATATTGCTTTAAATTTGGACGGATCTAGGTATTGAATGACAAAGTTAATTTGTCGTGTTAGGCTATTCTTTCCTTTCAAGGTGGTATCACTGATGTGATAGTCTAACATTTTTCACTTTGGTGGTTATTAAGATTTAATACTATATATTATTAATATTCATAGGGCGAAGAACCTGATGAAGATGATGCATATCAGGTATTGTCAACGTTGAAGAGAATCACTGCTTTTCATAAGTGAGTTGAATTTTAGTGTTTCTGATTTCTTAAAACTGTAGCAAAATCAAAACCAACTTGCATATTTTAGGGTTATAATGTTACCAGTTCTGCTATATTTCTTTTTTTTAATAAATTCTTTAAAGATTTTATTTACTTGTTTGTCAGAGAGAGAAAGGGAGAGAGAGAGAGTCCAAGCAGGAGGAGCAGCAGGCCGAGGGAGAAGCAGGCTTCCTGCTGAGCAGGGAGCCTGATGCCGGGCTCAATCCCAGGACCCTGGGATCGTGACCTGAGCCGAAGGCAGACGCTTAACGACTGAGCCACCCAGGCGTCCCAGTTCTGCTAGATTTCTTGTGCTTGTATATAAAAAATAGTTGATAGAGTCATGTTTTGAATTGGGGAATAATTGACAGATTATCACCCAGCATACTTTTTTAAAAATACATTTTTTTTTTGTTGTGGGTGCCTGTTAAAAGTTTACTGTATTTACTTTGACAGCATTTTGTTAACATTCAAGTCCAGAATAAAAGTGATTAAGCTTAACTTTTAAATATAACTTGATTCCTTTTTACAGTGCCCATGACCTTTCAAAATGGGATTTGTTTGCTTGTAATTACAAACTGTTGAAAACCGGAATTGAAAATGGAGACATGCCTGAGCAGGTTTTTATTTATTTTCAAGTTACATATTTAACTTCAAGAATGAATACTTAGGACGTTTTAGGTTTAACTGTATTCTCTTGCTTCTTTTTACAGATTGTTATTCATGCACTGCAGTGTACTCACTATGTAATCCTTTGGCAGCTTGCAAAGATAACTGAAAGCAGCTCTACAAAGGTTTGTGGTAGTTGAGTGGAGTTCTTATTACATTAAATGTCATTAACTGTTTTCAGCAAACTTTTAATGCGATAAATTGTTTCAGTAAAGTCTTGCTTATTTCTAAATTACTGCTTAGGCATGTGTACCATTAGAAAGTTATGTTCGTAGTTTGATGTATATTCAGTGAAAGAACATTAATATGTTTCAAGGTATGATTTTAAATTAAAACATTTTCACATTTTAAGGTGGTATAATTTATGTATTTCTATATTCTCAAAAGTATTGAGAACATATAGAAATATAGATTTTGTAAATTATGACCAAGAGCTTTTGAAACAAGCATACAGCTATTGGATTATATAAATTGATGATAAAAAGTCAGCTGCCCCTAGATCTTCTTATGCCTTAGTATTGTTTTGGGATCACGTTGTTCATACATAGGATCTTTCTACTGATGTTCCAAATTCATTGTAAATCACTTTCTGGTTGAGTATAATGTGCCAGCTACTGGGTAATAGAACTTTCAGAATTTTGTCCATAATGGTAATCTTTGATGTGTTGAGTAATTGAACTAAACAGTATTGCCTTTTGCGTTTGTAACCAACCGAGCCACTCTAGGTGCCCCTTGCCTTTTTCATTTGTAAACTGGAAACTTAAAACATTGTACTTGTAGTAGATGCAGCCTTAAATATTTGGGTACATTTTTATAAATACTATGTAATTTCTAGGAGATAGAGAATTCGTTGTTCATAGCTCTTTTCCTCAAAAACAGTTGTCTTAATAATAAGTTTCTTTTTCATAAAATCAGAATAATTTTAAATGCTTAGAATTTCTCTGAGCTTTTACAGTACAAGAAATGGGTATTTTCCTCTTGAAAAAGCAATTTAGTATTGTTGTTAGTGTATTTTTTGTCAAACAACTAAGAAATTTATTTAACTTAATATCAAGCTTATAGTAGGAACAATAACCATATTAGCAAATATGATTGCTCATCTAAGTCAAAAGCATTGAATTAAAAATTAAAACGGAAAAGAGATTATATTTTGAGTAGAGGGGAAAGGGTAAAAATGATACTAAATACAAAATTATCCTGAAGCTTGGTTAAGTTTTCTTTACCAAATCAATCAAGTTAAACCTGTTTTAGTAAAAGATTTATCTTTTTAGTATAAGTTTACAAGACATTTAAATTTTTTAAAATTGGAATAATACTACAAAACTGATTTTTGTCCATCTCTCTTTTTAAAAAGTGCAGTTGGTATCCTTCAAGTAAGAAATGAAAGATGCTGTCTCTTTTATTAATCAATTTTTTCTGTTCATCAGTTGGCTACCCTTCAAATTACAAAATGAGGATGGACCATTAATCTTTACTCTTTAGGCATTCTGAGGTAGTAGATTCATTAAAGATAGCCATATACAGTCATATAGGTTTTCTCATTTTAAAGGACCCAGACCACTTCAGATATTATGCACTAATACACCTGATATTTTTAAGGCTGCAGTTTGTTGCTATTTTTAAGAAAAATGGTCTAATCAATAGAGTAAATATAGTTAAATATGTGATAATATTTTATGTAATTTGAAGTATCTTAAATACTAAATGAGGTTTTTATACAGTTGTTCATGTTAAATTTTTCAAGGAGGACTTGCTGCGTTTAAAGAAACAGATGCGGGTATTCTGTCAGATATGTCAGCATTACCTGACCAACGTGAATACTACTGTTAAGGAACAGGTTAGTAATTACTGTAGGTAGCCATCTTTTGTAAGCAACCCTTAATAAATATCTGAATTAATACAGAAAATGTAAGTAATACTGAGGTTGAGCAAAGCAGAAATATCTTGTATCTGTCCATGTATATAATACTCAAAAAATAGATTAATAATTTTTTTAAGATTTTATTTATTTATTTGAGAGAGAGAGAGAATGAGAGAGAGCACGAGAGGGAAGAGGGACAGAGGGAGAAGCAGACTCCCTGCTGAGCAGGGAGCCCGATGCGGGACTCGATCCCGGGACTCCAGGATCATGACCTGAGCCAAAGGCAGTCACTTAACCAACTGAGCCACCCAGGCGCCCCTAGATTAATAATTTCATATGGAGTTTATAAATTGTATTATAGATTACCCTCATTGTGGTTATTTTATGTTGTTATTTATGACTCACTTGGTAAACAGACCCATATATACAAATTAGATGTATGATACTACGTAAGTTATTCTTCAAATTAATAAGTGCAAGTATGCCTCAGGGAGGGAAATGGGTCTGTATGGTTTTGTCATCTCTGAGAATATTATCAGATACTGACATTCCTTCCCATCCTGATTGTGTACGTTATTTTTTCTTACGTGGACTTCGTCTGAAATAAAAATTTTAATCATTTCCCTGACTTCAAAGTGTTACTTTCCCACTTCATATGCCCTCATTCTGAAAATACATCATTAACTGCTGCCATAGGTAGTTTTCCCATCTGTAAAATGAATTCTGATCCTGGGACTGAGAGCCTGTTTAGTTTTAATTCCCTAATAGAAGATTTAAGGTTTTTTGTACATGCGCTTTTTAAATGCTTGTATGGAGAAGACATTTTTATAATAAGAAATATTAATAATGATACAGTCAAAGTGTTTATTGTGATTTCAAGGTTTTTTGATCATTTCATTCTCTTTTGCATATTGGGGTGGGTAGAGCCCCAGCAGTCATCACAAATGCTATTTTCAGCAGTTTGTGTTAATGTTGGGTACTGTTTATTTTGTTTTTTATTTTTGGTGTTAACTATTTATTTTAAATTAGGGTATATTTACTTCTTAAAGCTACTATGAAAGTAGTTCAGATCCAACTACAAAGTGACTGGTAAAGTCCTTCAACCTTTGTGATTGTCACTTGTCTTTATTTTATTTTAAAATATCAAAACTGATTTCAGTGAAATACATTTAGAGTTTTATAGTTAAAAATTCACATTCAGTATCCAACTGTTAATTTCATTTTTCTTCTTCCAACTCCCATTTGTTCCTCCCATACGTGTATGCTTGGGCATAAATAAATTAGAAGTTATTAAATGGCCAAAATCCAGTAACTGACTTTTCACGTTTTTTCTTGCAAAAGTATGAAGTATATTCCTATAATTATTACATTGCTGAATTCTCCAGTTTTAAGTATGTGGTTTTGAATTGTAGCAATAAAGGATTTGGAAATTTAATTTTCATCTGAACAATTCATATGAAAGAAACCAAAGTTTCTGTAGGTAGTAAATTGAATTTAAACTCCTAGGACAGGATTTTAAGGACGTGTACATTGATCCAGAATTAATAACATGAAATATTCCTCTTTGTTTTCATATCCCACCAAGATACTCAGCTTAATATTCCCTATTTTTTTCTTTTTCTTCTTTTCTTTTATTTATTTGACAGAGAGAGACACAGCAAGAGAGGGAACACAAGCAGGGGGAGTGGGCGGGGGAGAAGCAAGCCTCCCGCAGAGCAGGGAGCCCGATGCGGGGCTCGATCCCAGGACCCTGGGATCATGACCCGAGCCGAAGGCAGACTTTTAACAACTGAGCCATCCAGGCACCCCAGTATTCGCTGTTTCTTGAAGTATTAACACAATTCCTTATGGGTTATCATATGTAACCTCCTATATGATCTGTTGTTCAGGCCATGGCAATTAATTATTTGATCATGAAATACCTTGTATGTCAGTCTTCCAAACAGCTTCCAGAAATATGTCCTGGTCAATTCACTTGACCTGCCAGTTCACCTTATTAGTAAATATCACCATGCTTATCACTCTGTTTTCTTATTGTGTATGTTGCAAAAGTTTTTGTAAACTCAGATATCCTGATGGGTATAAATGACTACTATAGTAGTAAAACGAGGAAAGACTGAAAGAGGTAAAAGCATAAAGGAAAAGAGAAAAAAAAGTAAATGTGGTTAGTTCCAAGAAGGTAAAAACATTATTGAGATCTGCTTTGTGCTCTGTGCTATCTGTCTAGCAGTAGTCTTCCTTTAAATGTAATTCGCTATTGACTTTGTGACCCCCAAATTCTATTTTTGTTATCCTTTCCCAACATAATTAAAATTTTCCAGTTTTCTTCTGAATACTTTTACCAGTGTTTGACTCCATTTAAAACTAATGGCAGAGTTTTTATAAAGTTCCTTGAGATAGAACCTTGGCTTTATGTTTATTATGATAGTATCATGTTTGATGAGTGAGTAAGCAGGCACATAGTTCTTTGTGTTTTTTTCTACTTAATCGCTACACATATTGAGAATGAGAGCGTTTAAAAAGTACCAAAGACTTTGTGATCTCTCTTCTAGGAGATAATTGATCTCCTTGGTATAAGTTTTTGTCTTCCATTGAGGAATGGAATGGTTTTATATGTTATAGTATGTTTATATGTTATTTAATATATATAGTTTATATGTTATTTCATATTTAGGGATGTATATGGTTCTATATGTTATAGTATGTTTATATGTTATTTAACATATACAGTTTATATGTTATTTCATATTTAGGGATGTATACCATGAGGCATTGTCATAAAGTGTAGAGTGGGGTTTGGAGTCAGAAAACCTGAGGTTGAGTCCTGACTGCATGTTTTGGTAGTGTTAACATACTGTACAAGTCACTTAAAGTTGCTGAAAATAATATTTGTGAAATTACCTTGCAGTTAGTAAAGCATGATTGCAAATACTAGTAATCATTTTTACAGAAATACATTCCTCAACTTTAAAAACTTAGGAAAATACTATACACTGATTTTTCTTAAAAGTTGGATTCTGTTTCTGTGTTAAATATATGTTACTTGTGGCAGTTGGTGAGAAACCTTGGATTATAGCACGCTGTACTTTTTTTTTTTAATAGGCCTTCACTATTTTGTGTGATATTCTGATGATCTTCAGCCATCAAATTATGTCAGGAGGGCGTGACATGTTAGAGCCATTAGTTTACACCCCTGATTCTTCATTGCAGTCTGAGTTGCTCAGCTTTATTCTGGATCATGTCTTCATTGAACAGGATGATGATAACAACAGCGCAGGTAATTTTATTGGCATCTTTTTGTTAAGTCTTTGTATCCACCATAAATTTAAGTAACAGTGATGTAAAGTGTTGCAGTACTATTTGATATTTTATTCTGAAAACATGAAACACAGGTGCATGTTCAGCACATTTGTAGTAATTTTTTGTAATATTGTAAAAACAAGGTGGTATCTCAGGGCTTAGGCTTTGGAGTCAGATCTTTGCTTCTCACTAGCCCCAGGCCTATTTATAGCTACCTTACAGAATTGTATGAATTAATTGAGCAAAGTGACTTGTGCAGTGCCTGGGCATGAAATAGGTACTCAGTAAAATTTACTCCCTCTTCCCCTTAGTCATTGGTAATACCATTTTTCAGGTAGTTTGAGTAGAATAAAGTGTTTCTTTAAGTGACATTTTTGTTGTATACTCTTATAACATAGGTTTTCATATTTTGGGGGGTATTAAACTGTGTAATTTCTCAATGTTAGAAGATGTTTGGAATTGTTCTGCAAATGTCTGGGGCAGTACAGAATGTTCACAGGAAAATAATGCCACCAGCCTTGCCTGGTGTTGTTATTCTTTCTACCCTAATTACATACACAGATGTCTTACTTGAATAAGAGGTCATGGAAGAAAGTGTTGGGTGGCTTCTTTCTGTTTGGTTTTAATATGAAGTTATACTTGAAGGACAATATAACATCGATATATGTGCATCTCGATATATATACTGACATATCACTGCAAATCAGATTCTAAATACATACAATTTTAGACATGGCTTATAGCTTATTTTTAATAAAGAACTTTGTTATTAAGTATTTAAAACTTAGCCAGAAGAGAATTGAGAAACCTAGAGTAGCAAAAACAGTTGTCAGGAGTCCACGTACTAAAGTTTATATACTTAAAATTTTTTACCTTTTACTTTGAGTTCATGGTTTAGTTACACTTTTATTTGACATTTATTGGTCAGGCAGTACACTAGATGCTGTGGATGTCAAAAAATGAGACAAGGGCTTTTCCTTTAAAAATTCAATTCAAGTGGAAAAGACAGATCTAAAAACAAGTAATTATAATGCAGTTTGATAAGTAGTAGAAGCATGTTCACATTGCTGTGGTCATGTCAAGGAAGTTTTAACTGGTCTGGGAGTCAAAACATTATTGAAATAAGCTAACATCTGAATTGGATCCTAAAAGGTGAGTAGGAGTTTTTAAAACTTCTTTGGGAAAGCATAGTTTCATTCCAAAAATTGATACAAAATCAGTTTTGGTATATAATCCTTTTGTTATAGTTGGGGGTCTGCCTCTCTGCTTCATTTACACCATAGAACTAGAATCAGAATAAGCTTGCCAGTACTTCTGAATTTTCTAGGAGCTTCTTGAAATTATGCTCAGTCTTACCTTCTTGGACTCCCCCCTGCCCCCATTTAAAAATGAAATGTATTCCAGTTTTTTTGAAAAATGTAAAATATAACATATTTGTTCATATTTGTCAAATTTTGTTGTTTGTTACCAATTTTTTGGGGGAGGTGGGGAATAAATAGATACAAAAGAGCCCTCATTTAAATTTTATTGAACAGGAGTTTATGTATCTGTTAACAATATATAGTTTATTTTCTGTTGCTAGGTTCCATATAAATGGTATTATGTTGAACATTTTATTTTGCATCTTGCTTTTTTGCATTAACATTTTTGAAATTTGTCAGTGTTGACATATGGTTATAGTTTATTCATCTTGAGTGCTGAATGTTATGTAATATGAATTAACCCTACTTTATCCTTTTATTTAAAAAAAAAAGATTTTATTTATTTATTTGACAGAGAGTGAGAGAGCACAAGTAGGGAGTCTGATGCGGGGCTTGATCCCAGGATCCTGGGATCATGACCTGAGCTGAAGGCAGACGCTTAACCGACTGAGCACCCAGGCGCCCCACGTTATCCTTTTTTTAAAAAGATTTTATTTACTCATTTTAGAGAGAGAGCGCGAGCAGAGAGGGGCAGAGGGGGAAGGTGAAAAAATCTGAAGATTTTGTGCTGAGTGCGATCCCAATGCAGGGCTCAATGGGGCTCGATCCCATGACCGTAAGACCATGACCTGAGCTGAACAAGAGTCGGATGCATAACCGATGAGCCACCCAGGCACCCCTACTTTATCCATTTTTATATTGGTGAACATTTAGGTTGTTTTCAATTTTTTCCCTGTTATAAATAGTGTACAACAAATGTTCTTATACTTACCTGCTTGAGCACATGTGCAAATGCTTTTCTAGTACACACCTAAGAGTGGAATTGCCAGATTATATAGTCTTTGTGCATCCTAAATTTGACCACATGTAGCAAAAATATTCTCCAAAATGGTTTTGTATTGTTTTATTCTCCCACCAGCAGCATGAGTTTCCATTGGTTTTCATTCTCATCTAACCCCTGGTGTTGTAGACCCATGGTTATTTATTTGATTTGTTAGCCCATGTACATGAGGTGAGGAGAGAGAAAAAGAGAATGCTTCTAGAGGCACTGACAACACAAAATAATGCAGTTGACATATATGAAAGGTCCAGTATGTTAGATACTTCTCTAACATTCTTTAATCCCCACAAGAGAAAAGGTGGCTAGTTTTTGATGAGAAGTGGAAAAAAAAAACAAACCAGGGTGCCTTGACTGGCTCAGTCAGAAGAGCATGCAACTCTCGATTTCAGGGTCGTGCGTTCAAGCCCCATGTTGGGTTGTAGAGATTACCGCCCCCAACACACACCTTAAAAAGGCGAAAAAAACCCCAAAATCGGAGCTCAAAAACTGGTTAATTAATACCTGGGTAATTTAGTCTGTAGGGGGAGAACATCTACATACATGTACTTCCTAAGAGTAGTACTGAACAGTGATTGGAAACAGTATTGTATAGAAATCCATTATAATCACGGAGACATTTAGAAAAAGTTTATATATTCAGTGTAATCTTCTGAAAGAGTAAACAGTATATTTTAGGTTTCTAAGCAAATGGCTTTGGGATTCTGGAATATGCACTTGTGATAGTAAAACTTTTTCTGATTGTCTCTTAAATTCCTATTCTCAAAATTTGTTTTTAACTTGCTAGCAGTTATTGAAGATTATCAGAGATAGGGTAAAATAAACATTTGTTTTAAAGAACATTCTCATTTTACAAATTATTTTTTTGATATTGGGAACCTTATATTGAAGACCTGACAGGATGTGCACCTACAGTTCACAAAGGAGGAAATATAAATGGGTAATAAATGCACGAAAAACTTGAACTTCACTGCTAACCAAAGAAATGTAAATCAAACTAAGGTAGCTTTTAATAAGTAATTTTGTTTGTAAAGTTTGTTCAGAGGAAAATTCTTTACATAGTTTTTTGTGTAAAAGGCTTCATCACGATTTTATTTGCAATATCAAATAATTAGAAATACTCTTTTGGCAGTACTTGGAGGCTATAGTCCAGCTTTCTTGACTACGAAGTTGGAAATAAGTCTGTTTCCTTGATAACTCTGAATGTCAGCATCTCACATAATTGATCAGAGCAGAAATATGTGAAGTTATCTTAAAAAGACAGAATAGTTTCTAGGTCAGACTTACTGAGTATATGTAATATATATAAAATAAGTATGTGTCAGTAAGAGTTGGGGGTCAGGTGGGTTGGGGTCATCCTTGGAAGGGATAGAATTTCTGAGGTTGGCTTCCCCCCCACCCCAGGGCCTTAACCAAGGGACATTGAATATGCAGATCTCGTTGGCAAGCGATCATAATAGGGAAGTGGATGAATGCGTTAGGCAGGCTCAGCCTGATTTCACTAAACATCAGTTCCTCTGACTCACTCAACTTGTTCCTGTTACATGTTCAATAAGCAGCCTTATGATTACTATTTTAATTTGCAAAAATTTTGTCTATTGGGATTAATGGACTGGTCATTCAATGAGATATTAAGAGTGATTATAATTTGTATTTTATTTAAATGTGTTTACTGTATTTTTCACATTCTCCAACATAAACGTATTTTATAGTGAGAATTAAAAAATACATATGGCTGAAGTAAAATACAGATGGCTTAATGTTCGTAACTTTTTTTCCCCAGATGGTCAGCAGGAGGATGAAGCCAGTAAAATTGAAGCTCTGCACAAGAGGAGAAATTTACTTGCAGCATTTTGTAAGCTAATTGTATATACTGTGGTGGAGATGAATACTGCTGCAGATATCTTCAAGCAGTATATGAAGGTAAAGTTGTGGATAGCAACTTATTTTTATAATGCTTAAAAGAAAATGAATGTAACACTGGCTTTTATTATTGCTGTTGAATTTTTTAAATAGTAAATTACTTTTCTAGCATAAAATAAATTTCTTCTAAAATTTAACATTTTTGGTAATACTACTTCATACTTCTAGTCTTCCATTAATGGACGTTTTGGGTTTATTGAGTTCACTTCATTTAGAATATTGGAAGCATCTTGTCTTGGGTTAGTTATCACTATTAGAATTTACCTTTGTGGTTTAGTTTAAGACAACAGGATGGTGTTCCTCCTCAGCTTGGTGTAGCATAAAACGGGTATTGTTCTAGGAGTCAGGAGACCTGGCTGCTATAGTTTTGGCTTGGTTACTATGCAGCTCCTGACCTTGAATAAAGTACCTTTTGTGTCCTGCCTTTCTTTTCATCTGTTCACTGTGATAACTAAGGTTCCTTTAGGCTTTGAAAGTCTGATTTGATTCACAGTGGGTTATTCACAATTTTCGTAAGTACCTGTGAGAGTCTCTAATATTTAAGTCGTAGTAGAAAGGGTATTATTAATTATACTAATGAAATATAACTAAATATGGTAAGATAGATTTTACTTGAGAAAGGATTAAAGAAAAACTAATGATAAATATAAACTTTTTTAAGCCTTTGGTGTCACCAAATAAAATATGTAATAAAGTTGTCAAAACCTCATTAATTCTCTCTTTGAAATATTTTGCTACATGATAGAACTCTTAGCACCATCGTAAATTACTTTGGAATTTAAGTTATTTGGAATTATCATTTTTAGATTTTTTAAAGAAAAACGAAGGTTGTGAAATTGTTTTACAAGTTTTAAACTTTTTAGACTCAAGTATTATAAAGTTAATTTTATTAGTCATAAGGGCATGGTTATCCTGTTATCACTGAGAGTTGTTATGTATTCATTTTGAAACAAGGTCTTAAATTAGAAAAAGATTTCATATTCAATGAATGTGATAATATAAATGTCGACACGCAATGAGTTTTCTTTTAAATGTTAACAGGCTGTTAGTTTCTATAAGCCAAATTAATAAAGTTGGAAACTGCAGGTGATCTACATGCCAGTAACAATGAATAAGCTTTAAAAGTAACTGTGATTATATTCATGGTCTTAATAGTTCACAAAGAGCGCAAGAACTTTGTTTATATCCTTTGTGTTGTTTCTGAAAGTGTGCATAGCCTGGTTATTGTTTTACTCCACACCTCCTTAAAACCGGTCTGGAGCTTAAGGTGACTGGATCTCAACTGTCTATTTTGGAATTTACCGGTGTTAGGGATTAATATGCTTAGAAATTATCTTAAAGTTTCAGTAACATTCTTTTCTCTCTGAATGCATAATTTCAGCCAAATACGAATTTTGTGACATACTACTCACATGAAACTAGTCTTATTGTCCAGGAGTTTTAAGAGATAAAGCTCTAATTTGTACAAATTTCTTTTCTAGTATTATAATGACTATGGAGATATCATCAAAGAAACAATGAGTAAAACAAGGCAGATAGACAAAATTCAGTGTGCAAAGACCCTTATTCTCAGTTTGCAGCAGGTAAGATATGAAGAGTATCAACTTTAGGCGAACATAATTAATACCTAATAGTTTTCAAGATAACAAGTAGAAAACTGGGCAAAGATGCAATAGACAGTTCATAAAAGTAGAAATAAAGATTTTCAACCTCAACCTCACTGTTGAGTGAGTCAGAGGAACTGATGTTTAGTGCAAGCGAGATCATTTTTTGCTTTCGGACTGGCAAGATTGGCAAAAAGCTATCTAATGTGTGGGGGAAATAGTACTGTCAGCAGTATGTATTGGTACAACCTTCCTGGTAGGCAGTTTGGCAATATATGTCAAAATTTATAATATGTATGCCTTAATGGCAGCAATCCTACTTTTAAAATTTTATCCGAGGTGGTAATAGGACAAGTTTACAAAATGGGGTATACCATATTACACATGGCAACAGTGTTTAAATAATCCAAATGCCCATGAAGAGGATATTAGATGAATATACTGTGTAGTGCATCTCTGCAGTGGTTATTGTGTAGCACTTAAAATTAGTGTAGATCTGTATTCACTAATATGTAAAGATCAAAATACATAGTTTGAGAATAAAATTTAAAAGATTAGGGGCGCCTGGGTGGCTCAGTCATTAAGCGTCTGCCTTTGGCTCAGGTCATGATCCCAGGGTCCTGGGATTGAGCCCCACATCGGGCTCCCTGCTCGGCGGGAAGCCTGCTTCTCCCTCTCCCACTCCCCCTGCTGTGTTCCCTCTCTCGCTGTGTCTCCTCTCTGCCAAATAAATAAATAAAATCTTAAAAAAAAATTTAAAAGATTATAGTACAGCATCCCTATAAAATTGTACTCATCTGTATATCTATCTGGAAAAATAATCACCAAAATTTTAGCTGTGGTTAACTTGCTCTGGTAGGTATCAAGTGAATTTTACTTTTTTCTCATTTTCATATTTATTTTAATGAGCATTTTTCAATCTTATAATCAAACTGCAAAACTCATTTTCATTTTGACAATGGTGAGGTAGGTTTAATTGGATAAAAATCATATGCTTAGTATACTTTTGTCTCTGGAGACCAAATGCACGCAGAATATAACCTAACCTGTTTCAATTTCATAAGTTTTCTTGCTTTTAAGAAATCTAGGTGTTGGGGCGCCTGGGTGGCTCAGATGTTTAAGCGTCTGCCTTCGGCTCAGGTCATGATCCCAGGGTCCTGGGATTGAGCCCTGCGTCCGCGTCTGGCTCCTGGCTCAGCGGGGAGCCTGCTTCTCCCTCTCCCTCTCAGCTTGTTCTCTCTCTCTCTCAATCTGTATCTCTGTGTCGCAGATGAATAAATAAAAATCTTTAATAAGATAAAATAAATCTAGGTGTTCAATTTCTTAGTCCCATTTGCATATTTGGATATTCTTTATTAAAATTAATAGAATTTAAAAGGTTTTGAAAGGTAACATTTAAGTAACTTTTCCTATAAAATAATAGCTGCTCACTGTAGAGATTTTAGAAAATATATGAACTAGAAAAAATACAACTTATCTTTGTTTTTTGCTTAACAAATACGTTTTTAGTTTTTAATAGCCTTTTTAGTCTTTTTATGCCTATATGAAATCTTAAGTTTTATAAAAACTAAACCATATTGGGCATTCTATTTTCCAAGCCTGAATTTTTCATGTTAATAAAACCATAATGCTTTCATGCCATTAAATACTTTCCTGAGCATATTTATTTATTTAAAGATTTTTTTTGAGAGAGAGAGACATAGAGAGGGAACACAAGTAGGGGAGAGGGAGAAGCAGGCTTCCTGTTGAGCAGGGAGCCCGTTTTGGGGCTCTATCCCAGGGCCCTGGGATCATGACCTGAGCCAAAGGCAGACGCTTAATGACTGAGCCACCCAGGCGCCCCTCCTGAGCATTTTTAATGACTGTATATAGTATTGTGTTTTATACAGGGACCATAATTTAACCAAGATCTCTTCGTGTGTTTTTTTGTTTTTGTTTTTTTTTTAAGATTTTATTTATTTTTTTTGACAGAAAGACAGCTAGAGAGGGAACACAAGCAGGGGAGGTGAGAGAGGGAGAAGCAGGCCTCTTGCTGTGCAGGGAGCCCAGTGCGGGGCTTGATCCCAGGACCCTGGGATCATGACCTGAGCCGAAGGCAGATGCTTAATGACTGAGCCACCCAGGAGCCCCAAGATCTCTTCTTGCTTAATGTTGAGGTCTTTTACAATCCTTGCCATTACAAATACCACTAAGACAGTTTTGTACCAATGTATCATGCACAAATATTATTCCTTTGAATAAAGGCCAATAATTAGAATTGCTTAGTCAAAGGACATCAACATTTTACAGCTTTCAGTACAGATTCCTCTATAGAAAGGTTATCTCAGTTTATGTTTCTAGCAGGTCAGAGTGCTCATTGCATAATATTCTTATCAGTAGTAGCCATTATCTGTTAAAAACTTTGGCCATTTGGTAGTTGAAAAATTGTATTTTGTTGTGCTTACTTATGAATTTTTGATGTGAAGATGCATCATGTAAATGTAAAGTAACAGCATAGTTGCCTAATGAGTGGGTTTCCTTTTTCTTTATATTTTTATATGCTGTTTTTTTTTTTTTTTAAAGATTTTATTTATTTATTTGACAGAGAGAGACAGTGAGAGCAGGAACACAAGCAGGGGGAGTGGGAGAGGGAGAAGCAGGCTTCCCGCTGAGCAGGGAGCCCGATGTGGGACTTGATCCCAGGACCCTGGGATCATGACCTGAGCCGAAGGCAGACGCTTAACGACTGAGCCACCCAGGCGCCCTATATGCTGTTTTAATATCCAGTTAACACCAGCAGAATAGAATTATGCCATAACCTTAAGAGTTTCTAATGTCTGTAACTACCTCTGGTCTGAATATATGAAGCACTATATTTTTGTTTATTTGTATCATGTTTTTAAAAATCCATGTTTTAGCATAAAATGCAGTGCCTCATTTATGAGCATCTAGTATATTTTAAATAGAGAATATGGGATCTTAAAAGATGTTAGTAATCTATAATTATAACAAAACTTTAACGTGCTTTCTTTCTTTCCAAACAGCTTTTTAATGAAATGATACAAGAAAACGGCTATAATTTTGATAGATCATCCTCAACATTTAGTGGCATAAAAGAGCTTGCTCGACGTTTTGCATTAACTTTTGGACTCGATCAATTGAAAACAAGAGAGGCCATTGCTATGCTACACAAGTAATCTCCAAATATTTTATTCAGCTCTCCTTTTTTTAATCATGAAATTTTTTTGTATTTACCTCTTTTGTTTAGAATAACCAAACTCAGTTCATGCTTTATTAATTTTTTTCAAATCTGTGGCATATCTCCTTTCTTGAGAACCAGTAATAATGCTATCTCCATTAACACATGTGTTGGGACTAAAACTTCTGTTAGAAAGTCTTTGCTTTAATTAAAACAATACAAAATCTTTATAAATTATGTGAAGAAAAGCAACACATATTCATCAGGTATTATAAAATCTCTTTTAACAGCTTTTATTATCTCACTGCTAGGTAGAGAAATTTTTGAGATTTGATTCAATTTTTCTCTTTCTGATTCTGTTTTCTATTTCGTAGTGACCATTTCCCTTGTTTTGAGCCACAGCCTCCTTTCTGTCTGCATATATTCTTTGCCTTATCAAAATTGGAAATAATCTGATTTTGTTTTGGGCATGTAATTTAGTGCTCAATCATATTTTCAAATATGATTGTATTTTAGAGTTTTAACATCAACACGTGGATAGTAATACCCTTTATTTCTTAATTCTGGATGAAGAGCCTAGCCTCTGGGAAAATCAGGAGGCTTGGACTCTGTTTTATGAAAGTTCTCTGTTTGATTTGTGTCTCTTTTACTCCTTACTTAGTTATAAAAATGTTAAATGTCTCCCTACAGGTATTTTTCTGCTCTTTAAGTTAGTCCCATACCTTCTCCAACTTTAATTCACTCTCTCCTTTTGCTTTGCTCTAAAAGTCTCAAATTCCTTTTTATGCCTCTTAATAATACATTGGATGATAATAGTAGGTAATATTTAAGGACCACACATGTAGTGATCAGTGATTATTTTGAGAAGGTAATACATTATTTTTTCATGTAGTAGCCTGCCTTCTTTACTCCCCAATTTCATCTGGATTGTTTTTTACACAGTTACATTTTTGATACAGTATAAGAATATAATGTTCGGTTGTTGTCTTGATTAGAGGTATTTATTATTAGGTAAATAAGTTAAAGTAGGCCCTGAGTGAAGTTTAATTTTTAAATTTACTCTTAAATGGGTCACTACAAATAGTTTTTAATAATTATTTTTAAGTTCTATATGTTATAATAGGTCTCCTTTACGTCTTGAAAAATATAGAAAATGTATTGATCATTACATGAGAAAATTTGGGCTATTTTCTATGGAGAAGAGAACCAAGGAAGGAATGTAGGTACACCAAACCACATTCAAAGTGAAGGCTAGCTGTGTGTATGTGTGTACCTGTGTGTGTTTTGTTTTGTTTTAAAGTAACAGTGACATAAACTGTAGATATAATTACTCATTCTCACACTATAGCCTCCTTATTCTCTTTATTCCTCAGATTAAATGCATGGCAGAGGAAACATCTTAGTAGTGGAACAAAACTATAGAGAGAAATTTCCTTTCTAAGTTACCAAATTTGTACTGTAGTCCCTTAAATGTTTGTCTCTTGTTGTTGCAGAGATGGCATAGAATTTGCTTTTAAAGAGCCTAACCCACAAGGAGAGAGCCATCCACCTTTAAATTTGGCATTTCTTGATATTCTGAGTGAATTTTCTTCTAAACTACTCCGACAAGACAAAAGAACGGTGTATGTATTTGCTAAAAATATTCTATTTAATTTTGTTTTGAAATTCTTAAAGGTGAATTGTTACACTTGATTTTTCTCCTTTTGGCACACACACAGATTAGAATTTAGGATTACATTAATGCACAAAAAACTTTATACTTCAGAAAATTTATAATTTAGGGAGTATAACTATGTTTTATGCATAATACTCCATTTTAATTCTGTGTGTTCCCCACCCAATGTAGTTGTGGCTTTAGAGGTGTAACTTGAATGCTTTATGTATCCTCATCTGCATTCTTCACTTAGTCTAACAAAGGAGGGAACATTTAACAGACAATAATATTGGTAATTCATCCAGGAGCATCTTAGTTTATGTGCTGAGCTGTGACTACACTGGAAAGTAGGTTTCCTTTTTATCTTTTTTGCTTTAACTACTAGTCCTATCCTAACAGACCAGTTTAGAACACTTTTCTAGTGTAGTCTCCTAAAATGGTGACTTATGTTCTAAGAGAGCCCAACTAATGGAATTAAATTCTCAAAATTCACTGCCCTCTTTGAGTTATAAAAGGGCAGAGGAATATGAATAACTCATAGTATATGTACCTCTTCTGAAAGTCTACCAGTATTTTGCATTTAAAGACAGTATACATTTTACGTGAAATTCTAAAGCAGACAAAACTAATCCCTGGTGATAGAAATCACAGTAGTGGATACTTTAGGGTTGTGGATATGAATGGGAAAAGGAACGTAAGGTACTTTGTAGGAATGTTCTTTATCTTGATAGATGTGTGGGTTACATGACTGCGTTTATTTGCAAAATGATCCAGCTGTACTCTTATGTTCTGTGCATTTTATGCATTATATATAAACTTATCCCAATTAAGAATTACATTAACAGTGTTAATCAGAGAAATACAAATTAAAATAATGAAAAACCATTTATCGCCTAGCAGATTAGCAAAAATTAAGTCTTGATAGTCTGAGGTATTGCCAAAGATGTGGAGCAAGAAACTTTTATACATTGTTGGTGACTGCAAATTGGTGTAAGACCACTTTGTGGAGCTATTTGGCAATGTCTAGTAAAGTTTAAGATTCTCCCTATCTCATGATCCAGTAATTCTATTCATAGGTCGATACCCTAGAGAAACTCCTACATGTGTGTACATGGAGAACCATAAAAGAATTTGACCATTGCATTGTTTGGATAGAGGAAAGCTCAAAACAACTTAACATCTATCAATTAGAAAATGAGATCAGTAGATTTTTATACAGTAGAATATCATAAGCAGTCAAAATGTTTAGATTTTTTCAAAGTAAATATAATTCTTTAATTTTATTAAACACCCAGTCATTCTTCAAATTTCTGGTAGTCTCATGTCATAAATGACTTTTATTTCTATAGCTTGTTTGATTGAATTGGGATTGAAATAAGATTCACACACCCGAATTGATTATTCTGTTCTTAAAATCTTCAAAAATTTTGTCCAGCTTTATTGTGGTATAATTGACAAATACAATTGTAATATATTTAAAGTGTACAACATGATTTCATATATGTATATATTGTGAGAGGATCCCTCTGGTCAAGTTAATTAACACATTCAAAACTTCAGATATTTACCCTGGGTTTTTTTTTGTTTTTGTTTTTTTGGTTTTTTTGAGAACACTTAAGTTCTCTTTTAGCAAATTTCAGTTATACTGTGTTATAATAATACAGCATCATCCATCAATTATAATCATGTTGTATCCTCAGATCTCATTCATCTTTAAAAGTTTTTCCCTAAATTTACTGAATATAGCTGACATATAACATTGTGTAATTTTAAGGTGTACAACATGTTGACTCAATATACTTCTGTATTGGCAAATGATTAACACCATAACATTAGCTGATGCCACTCTTCCAAAAATGGTTAGATTTTTAAAACATAATGTTCAGTACAAAAAGCAAAGTATAGAACTGTTCTATAATGTTTACAGACAAATATATATTAAAAGTATATTATGATTTCACTCATGTGGAATTTAAGAAACAAAACAAATATAGGGGGAAACAGGCAAACCAAAAAACAGACTCTTAACTATAGAGAACAAACTGATAGTTATTTGAGGGGGAGGTGGGTGAGGAGATGGGTTAAATAGGTGATGGGTCTTAAGGAGGGCACTAGTTGTGATAAGCACTGGGTGTTGTATGGAAGCGTTGAATCCCTAAATTCTAAACCTGAAACTAATGTTACACTGTATGTTAAGTAACTGGAATTTAAATCAAAACTTGAGAAAAAAAATGTATTAAAAATATAAAAGTATGTGTCGGGATGTAAGTTTAGGTTAGTAGTAGCCTTTGTGGCAGGAAGAGGACAAAGGGAAATAGCATCAGGGAGGGCTCCTTATCTGAAATGTTCAGTTAAGCTATGTGATAGGTACGTATTTGTAAATCTTTCTACCAGTGAGTACAATTTGGCTCAAGCTCCATATCTTGTCACAGATTGGTAACAGTTTTTAGACTGACAGCCAGTTCATAATCCACACTTTGAGGAGTACTGTACTACTGTGTATAGCTGAAATAAAATTAAGAAATACTGAGCTAACACCAAGCAGTATCTTTATAGCTAATTCCTCCTATCCTTTCTCTTTAATGGTGTTCAAAACTGGTGATTCTGAATTGATTAGAATTAGTCATTATTATGACAGCAGATTATTTGGGTTGTACTTTTTATAGTTAGCTGACAAAAATTGTGTTCATGTATTTGAAGCATAATTTAGACAATAAAGCACTGAACTCTTAGTGTCAAAAACCTGGGATTTGAATCATCGTTATATTACTTTCTCATTCTTACCTTTTGCTTCCTCATCTGTCAAACAAGGAAAATAGCTCCCTCACAGGATTATAAGAATAAAGATCCCAAGAGAAAAATGCCTAACACATAAGTAGTCTCACAAATGTTAGTTGAATTTTGATTGCTATATTACATATAAGCCATAGAATCCTTGTGATACTTGCATCCAAGGGTAAATGTATGACTTCCATCAGGCTGAAATTTTTTTGCAGATAGAGGCCATATCTTACTCATTTTTGTACCAATCCCCAGTGCCAGGGACATAGTGACATAGTGGATGCTCGACAAATACTAAGCTGAAATGATCTGGATTGTTTCATTTAATGAAGAATCTTGACAGATACAAAATTGCTCATCAGTGATGAAGCTGAGATTGAATTGTGAAGTAATGTGCCCATGCTGATACAGCTAGGGGTTGGTGGAACTGGTACTAGAACCCAAATTGCATGATTTTAAATCAGTCCTCTTTGTGCAGAAATAATGACTTGGGTTTGTTGTTCTAGCAGAAGACTGTAAAGTTAGGATAGAACAGAGACATATTAGGAAAGAAAACACTAACATCCTTTAGTTGTTACTGTATGCTTTTTGTTTAATTCTAATAAAATCATTGAATGTTCCATATGGTATGTGAGCATTAAGATTATTAGGAGGAATGAATAAAAAGGAGGAAAAAAAACTGTGGTAGTTTTATGTATCAGAGCTAATGGTTTCTACTTCTTTTTAAGGTATGTTTACTTGGAAAAGTTCATGACCTTTCAGATGTCACTCCGAAGAGAAGATGTGTGGCTTCCTCTGATGTCTTACCGAAATTCTTTGCTAGCTGGTGGTGATGATGATACCATGTCAGTCATCAGTGGAATCAGCAGTCGGGGGTCAACTGTGCGGAGTAAAAAATCAAAACCATCTACAGGAAAACGGAAAGTAGTTGAAGGCATGCAACTTGCACTCAGTAAGAACATTGTTCATTCTCTTTATATTTACCTCTTATGTTTATTATCTGAATTGTCATTAGGTTTACCTTAGTTTTAAATTTGAGATCTGTGTTATTAAATAATATCTTGTGCAGTATGTCCACTTATGTGTAAGTTTAGTGTTTTAAGTATTTTATATACATAAACTCAGTTCTCCTAACTCTTCAGGTACATCCTCATTTTTCAGATGAGACAACCAGCACAGAGAAGTTAAGTAACTTACATAAGGTCACACAGCTGTTCAGTGGCTAGGCAGTCTCACTCTGGAACCTCTGCTTTTTAATCACTATGCCATACTGTATATGTATAGGGATATGGACTCAGCATTATAGAGCTAATTGTTACTTAAGAGATCAGATTATCTAGTTTAAGTGTGGAGCAACGGATTCAGGAGTTTCTGACTTTTGAATTTCTGTGAAGAGGTCATTTATCATAAAGAACTTGATAGAGATAAAGATTTCTGTGTGTAATCCTACAAGTAGGAATGCAATATGACGTTTGAATCTCTTGAACTCCTAGCACTGTAGGGTTGGTTCGTAATGGGCCTGGGGACTCTTTCACTCTCCTTTGGAACCTTTAAACAAATTAGCATAGTTGCCAAAATTTGTTCCAGTTATTGCTGAATAACAGACTACCCCAAAACGTAGGACATCATCTCAGGGACATGATGTCTGATGCCTCAGCTAGGAAGACTGAAAGGCTGGTGATGAATCCTATGGAGGCACGTTTACTTATGTGGTGCTAGCTATCACCTTGGGCTTTAGCTGGATTGTCTGCCAGAACACCTACAGGTGACCTCTCCATGTGGCTTTTGGCTTTCTCACAGCATGTGACTGGGCTCCAAGAGCAAGTGTCTGAAGAGACAGGAAGTAGAAGCTGCAAGGTTTTTAAGGCCAGAAACTGGCACAGCATAATTTCCACCATATTCTCTTGGCCAAGCAATCAAGGCCCAGCTTGGGACATAATCCTCCACCTCTTAATGTGAGGAGTGTCAAAGATTTGGGGGCCTTATTTTCTAATTGCCACATAATTCTTCAGCCATCATCAGGTATATAGTGTCCAATACTTGATTGTCCCATGGATGAATGGTTTTATCTTTTGTCCAATGATATAAACGCATAAACATAACTGGTACAACCTTAAATTTAAGTCGAAAAGTTACCTGATTAAGAGATGATGTTTCCTGCACATCACTGTTAAGTTTTTCTCATCTGAACAAATAGTTAATTGTTACAGATTTATGCTGGGCCATCAGATTTCTCCTTTTCCTAAGACTACATGGAGAACAAATGAATTGGTATTGATATAACATCTTGAAGATAGATTATCAAACCAGATAGTTCAGCTTTTATAGAAAGAGTCCATACTTTTTGTTTAGGTTTTTGGAGAAAGCCATAGAAATTGGGGCGTTAGTAAGTTAGAAGAAGGAAGGATGACTGCTGATAGATTGGCCAGATCAGGGCAATTTTGAAGGCAGAATTGGAGCCTAAACACAGTAGAACTTAAGGGCTGATGTAATTATATTGCAGATTGTGAAATTTATGTCTAATCTCTCTTACTAGGGCATTAGCTGCTAGTACATTTTCCTTTCCACTCTTTTCTTAAAAACACATCTGTGTGCACATGTGTAATCTTCTAATAAAATAGTTTTCCTGCAAACTCATATTCAGTCAGTCATCAAGTGCTATCAATTTTACCTCCCAAATCAGTGGTTTTAAAAAAATTACTATGGGGCGCCTGGGTGGCTCAGTCGTTAAGCGTCTGCCTTCGGCTCAGGTCATGGTCCCAGGGTCCTGGGATTGAGCCCCGAGTCGGGCTCCCTGCTCCGCGGGAAGCCTGCTTCTCCCTCTCCCGCTTCCCCCTGCTTGTGTTGCCTCTCTCGCTGTGTCTCTTCCTCTCTCTGTTAAGTAAATAAATAAAATCTTTAAAAAAAATTACTATGAATTCAGTAACACTTGCATGTGAATTTGTCTTTTATTAATCATGGCAGCATCTACAGATTTGAAAACAAATAGCTTTTGCAGGTATGAAATCTGGTGTTTTTGGTCCAGTGCTTAATACATATATGGATTTGTGCTCCCTTGGAGTTGGTGAGCATCCTATACACTAGGAATCATTCCTCCATTATATTCATTCCTGTTCCCACCTCTAACTCACCTGAGCTATACAGTTAGCCTCCTAACTGGCCTGTTTGCTCACTAGTCTTCATGTTCTTCAGTCCACCTGCCACACTGCCACCTCATACCTTGACTAGAACATGTAACTTTCACATTGCTTCTCTTCCGTAAAACCTTCGGCAGAAGTTCTGGTCACCTTAGCACAGCTTGTAAGACTTTCTGTAAATTGATTCCTGTCTATTTAGCCTTACCTTTTGCCGCTTACCCTAGGAGTATCATACTCTTAGTTTGAACCATATGAAATTGCCATTTTTGCAGGTCAGAAACTGCGGAATATCAGCAGATTAGTATGGTTCAGTCACTGTGGTTTCGTGCCTCAGTGTTTTTGCTTGTGTTCTTCCCTCTGCCTGGAGAATGTCACGGTTTTACCCCAGTATCTACTCTAATTAGAAGTCACTTTTGGGTAGTTTGCTCTAATCCTTTTCATTGCTCCCATTCCACCTGTGCTGCCCTCTCTTGTAGTACTACCACACTGTGTTGTCATTGCCTGTATTTTCTTTGTCTCCAAGGACAGGGATTGCACCTTACATATCTTGGTATCCCCCTGTTTCAAGCACTAGTATGTGGAAAGCAACCAGATGTTCGTTGACCTGAACAGGTTTTAGTAGACATTTGGTTAGTCAAAATTAGTGACTGAACTTTATTGCTATTAATTTTCTCTTTTAGCTGAAGAAAGCAGTAGTAGTGACAGTATATGGTTAAGCAGAGAACAAACACTGCACACCCCAGTTATGATGCAGACACCACAACTCACCTCAACGATTATGAGAGAGCCTAAAAGATTACGACCTGAGGATAGCTTCATGAGTGTCTATCCAATGCAGACTGAACATCATCAAACTCCTCTTGATTATAAGTAAGTACATTTGATCATTTTCTATACTATAACTTTATTAATTACATAGAAAAAAGTTAAGTTAAAAGAAGAATAAAATTCTCCTTGAAGCACGCAGGTAACATGGATGTTAGCTCAAAGACAACACGAGGAAGCAAGGCAACAGCAGGAGAGAGCAGCAATGAGCTATGTTAAACTGCGAACTAATCTTCAGCATGCCATGTAAGTGAGAGTGCCTTATTGTCTGAGTCTAGGAAGTTCACTAATTCATTTTAACATATTTTGATGTGTGCCTTGCCTAAAAATTTCAGCAGACTCTCTAGAGTAAGCTGAAATAATCAAGGAACTAAAATTTGGTCTTTCCAACAGAAGAAAACTTTCAAAGATAAATACTCACTAGTTAGCTAAAGGACCAATCTTAGGTTGATCTGTTGGAAAAGTTTAAATTTGAATCCTTGTTTATTTTGGTACACAGAATTATAGCTAAAAATCCAGTTTTGTTACATCTTAATCGATTCCCTAGCTTAGTTCAGGCCCTCATCCCTCATCTGAACCATTGTATTCACTTTCTAACTTGTTTTCTTCCCTCAAATCTCCCATTTATCCTCTCACCAAACTCCTCCCCTCACTCCCCACCACCACTTCATCATTCACACTGCCATCACAAGTGACTATTGTAGAATAAAGATCTGGTCATGTAACTTTTTGACTTAAACCTTCCCATGGCTCCCCATTGCCTACAGGATAAAGTCCAAACTCCTTAGCTCATGGCATGCAAGATCTTTCAGAATATGGCCCCCTGCCTACATTTTAGTATCCTGTCCCCCATTTCTTGGCAACTGGTAAAATCATTGTAAAAGAATAAGCTCAGGTGTCACCTTAAGTGAAGCTGTGGTCATCTATGCTCCCATTAACACTGTGTATATTCATTTTTTTATAGCACTTACCACATTGTATTGTAATTATTTGTTTATGAATTTGTCCCTTTCTCTAGACTGTGAGCTCCTCAAGGGCAGGGACCACTTCATTGCCTGTTGGTGCTTGGCACATAAAAAGTGCTAAGTTAAATGTTCATTGAATGAATAAATGTCTAATGCAAAAAATTGTAGTTTAACTTTTAAATACTTTTGTTTTTTTTTTACTGGAATCTGTATGAGACTTTTATGAATCTTTATTAGCTTTGGCTCTAGAAGAGATGGCAGAAAAGCAGTCTTTTAGATGATTGGTACAAAAAAGGGAACATATTCTGATGATTTTAGTTTTGAGTTTGAAAGCTTTGTATTTGTAACGTAATGTGGCATATGTTTTAATACTGGGAGATAGTAATTGTTACCTTTTTAAAATTTATGTTTCATTTTGTTGATTTTTAAATGATGAGAAAAATTTCACCTGTTTTTCTTAAGAAATGATCATTTACCACATGCATGGTAATCTATTAAAATTTGCTTTAGTTATTTCTCTACTGGTCTTATGAACGTCTACAGATAATGTACACTCTATTACATGTGTAGATTCTTATCCTAACTTGTCTGATACGGTCATCATCTATACTATGACTTGGTTCTGCTCCCTCTTCTCTGTTTCTGTGACCACATTCCCTGTAATATATCCTTATTTCATGCCGAATTCAACAAGCTAATTTCTTAGCTTCCAACCAGTCACCAGTTCAACCATTCTGGAATTCTGTCGTATAGTCATTTGAGCCTTATCTCTCCCCTGAAAATTTTCTGCCAGTCCCTAAGATCTTCCATAGCATCTCATTACTCAGTACCATTTATCATTATTCTTTTGTTTGTAGTTTAATTCCCATTAGGGATAAACTTCCCCAGGTGACTATAAGAGATTATCCTATTTAAATAATTATTACCACAAGATTCTTTTGGTTGTTGTGCTATAAGTGGTCTGTTGCCTGATACTTTACAACATTTTTGTTTTACAGTGATATTTTTGTAATGGTATCTGCTCTATAACTGAAAATACTTCCAAGTTACCTCTTTGTATTTTTATAGTTTATATCACACGTATCTTCTACTCCAAATGAGATACAGAATGGATTTCAGGTTTTCTGTAACATGGTCCACAAAGCACACATATACTTCCTTCATAGTTGCCTCTACCAAATATAGTAAAATTATCATTTACTGTCCAGAACTCTTAGAAAATAGGGACCATTGTCACCATATTTGTCCAGGTAGCCTGGATTAAACATCGTGTCTTGCTATCTTTATATTATTTTTTAAAACTCAACGTAGTGTTGTGTAAATTATAAGTAAATAATTTATTTTGGTAGTGGTGGGAATTGTTAAATGAATGGGAGAAGAAGGCAATATTGGCCAAACTGGGCAACTAGTCACCTTCAATTTCACTATTATGTTGACTTCTTCATGCTGATCTGGGCTAATTTGTGAACTTGAAATTTGAGTGTATGCCTTATAATTATGTGATAACATATAGAATTTTTGGTCTTAAGTTTTTATTTTACTTTTCTACATATGTCTTAGTTTTGAGTTTCATAGGACACAGAATCCAAGTTTCAGCATAAATGTTGCTCATTTCTTCCTGAAGCAGAATTAATCTCTTCTTTCAGTAATTTTTATAGCACTTTGATACATACTTCTCTTGTGATATTTGTCACATTTTGTTAAAATTAATTATCTCTGTTTTCCCATAATAGATTGTGAGCTCCTTGAGGGCAGGAACCCTGTCTTATTTATCTTTTTTTTCTTTTTTTTTGCATCCATAGGACATAAAAGAAGCCTGGCACATAGTAGGCACTGTGTGAATGAGTGAGTGAGTGAGTGCCTGGTATAAATTAGGTACTGAGTGAATGAGTGAACGATGGGTAAAACTAATATATATTAGTGAAAATATATGTATTCTGAAAATGTCATTTCTTTGGTCTCTGTTTTATATTTGTTTATTAATTTGTACCCTGCCTACTTTCAAAAAGGATTTGAGGTATCTCGTCTGTTCCCATGTGGGATATTCTCATTGAACTTTTTATATGGGGTATCAGAACTATCAAGCTAAATGTATTGAAGTAATGTAGAATAAACAACTCCTTAGCATTTTTAGACAAGTGAACATTGGGGTTTTGACATCATTGATGACATGATCAATGCCTAATCATTTTCCCTGACCTTTAATTTCATCATTTTCCATTACACTTCAGTATAGAGAGCTGCATAGTTGCTGCCAGTATATTAATAGTCCCAGCATTGGTTCAGATCTTGACTTTGTTTTATATTTCTCTAGTCGGCGTGGTACAAGCCTAATGGAAGATGATGAAGAGCCAATTGTTGAAGATGTTATGATGTCCTCAGAAGGGAGGATTGAAGATCTTAACGAAGGAATGGATTTCGACACCATGGATATAGACTTGGTAAGAAACAGTAATTTCTGTCAGATTTTCATTGAAGATCCTTTGGAAATTAAGTTGGAATTCGAGGAAATAACCTGCCGTGAAAAGTAAGTTTTGCAAAAAAGATTAAATAAAATAGTTGCCAGGTATTTTGGTCTATGAGAAGGGATTGAGGAGAGGGTGAGGTTGAAGAGGGTGTTAACTCTTAGTTTAAGACGGTAAATTTTAAGATTAATTTAGGAATATATCAATTTAAAGAATACATTTTGCTTACTATTATACTGGGTGTCATATCCACCTTGTTTTCCATTTATTTGCCATTATCAAAACAATACATTAGTAACTTGATACTACCCTATTGAGACAAAT